TTCAGCTAATTTACATAAAAGCATAATAAATTATATACCTAAACCTTCCTCAAGAATTACTCTTTCTATTGTTGAAAACCGTATAAAAATCCGTTCAGTAGTTTTCGAGTTTATCGCGTACAGACAGACAGGAGGACAGACAGGAGGACAGAAAGACGCGGCCGGGGGACTTATTTTTATAATAAGTATAGATTTATGAAACCAGATTTATTATTTTTATTATTTTCATTATACTTATTATTTTGAAAATAAATTTGCTATATATTATACGTGCGATTATTCGTTTTTTTGTTCGACTTAATCATTCTCGTGTGACATTAGGATATTTCAAAATTCAATACAATAGAAGATACTGAAAGATGCGATAATGATAATTAGGACTGAAAGAAAACAAAAAAGAGAAGTGAGAAAGCTACAATTTTAAAATCGCATTTAACAAGAGATTAACTATACCTATCTATAAATTAAACAGTAAAGTCATATCTGAAAGACAGATAATAGTCATAATACAAAAATATAGACAGAAGTAGTGTTAATGGGGTGTTGATCCATAATTTATGCTAAAAGGAGGAAAACTAAGAGAATGTAACGGCCGACGGGGTTCATGGGTTTGAAAATGTCGTCTCCTTAAGAGTGCGCCATGAGACCGCTACGATTCGGATTCGGAGGAGCAGGATGACCAGATAATGTTCTATCATGAGTAAGAAGTTTAGAGCGATAGATGCTCACATTGCTTGGATACCCGTTCAATTTTTAAACCGGTTTTGGCCATTGATCCCAAAACGAAAGGCTTTTCGGTTGAAGGTTTCGGTTACGTTCTTAAACCGGTTAAATCCGGGAGAAGGATTTTTGACGAATTTAGGTTTCATGAACAAAATTACCCGGTTATAAATAGTTTTTGTGCGTGTCTTTGCTAATGATAAATGGCCTAGTAGAAGGATGTAAGCACGTTTCTTACTTGTGAAGGAATTAACCGGTTTATTTCAATACCGAAATCCAACTTTCTCTAAGAATAACCGTTAACCATTATTATTTCGGTTTACTAAACTGTTCATTTTCATTAACCGGTTAAAGAACGAGCGATGAATTAACCATTACATTACCGAAATAAACCACTTTTTTAAACCAGTTCCGAGCCTTAGATGCTCAACGTATTTAAGTGCCAAAACAGTTCTTAATTCACTATAAATCAATCAAACAACCAATCGAAAATTTAAATTAGGTAACTGAAGAAATACTTCTAGGCTTCCTGACATAATGAAAACCCTCCAAAAATAGTGAGCGATGTCTGAGATAAATATCAATATGTGTGAAAAACATGTATTTTTCAAAAAAAATACTATCGAGACAATTTTCATTAATCGAGTTTTCAAATTTGGCAATTCAAGATAAAAGTCCGAAGTATAATTATTCTAAATATCAAAGTGGTAACTTTCACATATTTTTAGACAAATAACGATGCCTAGGTACAAAATTGCCAGCACACTCTTAAGTTGCAAAGCGGTATTAGTAAATAATAAATATTTAATAATATGTAAGTACTCAATTTCTATTAAGCAAACCTTGTAGTAGGTAGGTACATATAATTTCTTTATGTTACTGGTATAAAATATATTTTAAATTTTAAACAAAAACATACTGGACAATGGAGTACTTCAACCTTCGAACCAATTTACAAGTGTTCCGTAAACACTCGTACCCGTATCTTGACCCACGTAGGGAAGCAGTAACGGTTTTACTTTCGCACGAGTTACTTTACCACTTGTTTATTTTGAATGTAAACATTTTGAATCGATAACAAAAACATTTTGAAATATGTAAAAATGATATGATATTGTGAAAGAAATTACTATCTACTAATAAGAAAAATATATTATTACAGATATTATATAGGTAAATCTGATTAAGATTTAATTTAATCCTAACGAGTTATAAATCTAAACTCTTATGGATTGTAAAATATACTTTAGAATCTATAAAACGAAACCAACGAAACAAAAGCGATCATTGAATATCTAAAATTAGAACTCTCGCACAATGATGAACTAGATGATGTATCGAGAAGAAAAAAAATCGCATCATACTCATTACGATTAACGATTAAAAATAAAAAACAGAGAGCAGATGTGAGTGATCAGATCATGTATAACATGTGGGGTCGTTCATAGGAAGTGCGTATGTAATTGTGGCGACTGGACAATAAGGGGAATTGGCCAGTGCCTCGATTGTTGTGCGACCGATGCCCGCGCCCATGCCATTGATTGAATGAATGCGTGACTTTAACAAACAACGCTGGCCAAACGGAGCGTAAATGTTTTACGAGACTCATCACCATCCATTGCTCTTTCACTATTATCATTTAGAAACACAACCTGTCCACACTTTATTTGAAAGCTAGTACGAACTGACCGATTTAAAACATAAATAATCAATACATGTAATAACAATTTATCGATATCAATATCGTGTATTCATTAAATATTTAGATTTGTTTTTTTTTTATGTAATAAAACTCATATCAATACTTTTTATAAGTTGATTTCAAATCATAATTCAATTGTTGTTCATACAATGTGTTTGTTGTATATTAAATATGCGATTGGAAGTAAAACGGGGGTTATGTTTAGCATGACTACTATGGAATAAATATAAGCGAGCGGAACCAAAGCCTGTATCTAGTTACTTTATTTTGAAAATAGTATTTTGTATGTAAGCGCTATGCTACGACCGGATATGCCAATTTCAATCCGACACAACGACGGTTTTAGTAAGCGTTAACGCTCGCTATCGTATTCCAATATCTTCCAATAGCTTAACTGTGCGATATGCCTTAAATACATGAAAAATTCTCATTAATTAAAATTGTAAAAAACTCGTTAGTGTATATGCATTTACGGTTACATATTTACGTATGAGTCTCGTAACTCGAAATATTTTTCTTCGCCAAGTGCATAAAAAGAACCCTCTGTAAGGTAAAATGGGGTATAAGGCATACCTATTACCTATACCTGAATTAGAATTGTGGAATGGATAGGAATTCGTTTACAAATTATTTATATGGAAATTAAAATTATACATTTCAAGTTAAAATTATATAAAGAATACGTTTTAACGTTTAGTATACATTTTTCAGAGATGATATATTTTCCCGAAGTAAAAAGTATCCTATTTATATGTTGACCCGGATAATCAGCTATCATCATAGTAAATTTCATCAAAATCTATCCAGTGGTTTTCTCGTGATGCATTCCCAGAAAAACAGACAGACCAAAATTTTTAAAGCCTGTAAATTCGGTCTCTTCAATATTTTCCAAAAAAAACAAATATGACTCAGAATCTTATTATATGTAGGTATAGAAATATATATTTAAGAAAATCTTCTTAGACATTTAATCTTTGTCTTATAAAAGTTCATTACCACGGTGGCATTGCGCAATTTGTACAGAAATAACTTATAAATTATCCCATTCCATTAATTTCGACACACATACCTTTATATAGTGTCGTATATAAAAACTATTTACAGAGAAGTTATATTGGTATCGCGTCGTGATCATGGCGTGTAGAATCGACGAAATAGCTGGGGCCGTGCGACAGGTCCACGATTATCAACGCATTCTGCACGGTGGTCGCATCTCTACCACGGTACTAGGGATTTATAATGATAGTAATAGCATCTGAAGCACACCTGTGCTGTCTCGTGCCGCGTATTACATTTATACATAGACTTACTTAATGTATTACTTTATAGCAACTGTATTTTTTTTTGAATAATTTTTTACAATATCAAGTTTAAAGACCTACTTTCTACTTATTCGTGACTAAATAAGGAATCCTCAAATACAAATTCAATACGGTCAGTTGCTAACACTTTAATTTTCAATAGTAATACAACTTAATTTTTTTATGACATGTTTAAAAAAAATTTAGCTTTAGAAATCTAAATTAGTTGTAAAAATAACATTTCTTTACATATGGATCCTTATCCATCACTCAACATAAACCAAAGCCTTTAACAAAATATTTGAAAACGACATTGTTGTAATTAGGCACTCTTTCATCCAAATCCTCGATATAGTTTTGTAAAATGGTCTAATTTTTGGGATAAAGAAACCTATAAATTATTTAGTTTATATTATACCTGCCATACACGACATAATATGACCAATAAAATTAAGATATTTGATCATTACGTAAATGTATTTACAATAGTTATGTACTAGAATCGATATTTTTAGATCAATTAAGCTTATCGTGACGGGAACGGGGAATGTGAGACAAACTAGTGCGGGACCTGTCGACACGATGTCATGCACCAGTGAGCCATTCGATACGACAGGTGCGAACCACGCGTTTACCATAACTCCACCTTTATTTTATGTTTTACGATAAATATCATTACATTTAACTGTAAATTTAATCTTATCACTCTATTTAATGTATTTTAAATTTGTGGTTATCTTTTAAGTTAGCTAGAGATGAAATTATATGATGTATTTAACATTCCTAAAGAGGTATCACCTGTCTGCGTTATTAGTTTTATGAACCTAATAATATTCCACTTTTTCTTAATTATTATTTATTATATCTAAGTTATTACTGGAATTATTTATAATTTAAAAGATATTTGTATTTGTTATAAATTATATTAGAGAAAGTACTACTCCATACTAAATACTCGATCACTGAAATGTGCGCTTCAACGTTTACCAAGATCTTCAATCACCAAAAATTTTTATTTTTGAATGGGTTAGTTATGATATTATTTTTACTGTTAACTAAAACTAAAACGATTAGCGTAAACAAAATGAACACCTGTCCGTTTCGTATATGGCAATAAAACGGACATATTTGTAAAGGTCATAGGTAAGTATTTCTGTAGACATGTCTAGATGGTATAATTTATACAAAGATCGTTAGAATTGCATTTTCACTGTGTTGAAAAAAATCCTTAGTAATTTTACCTTATAAAAATACAATTATATTATCTTTAACAGTTATTTAGACTTACCTCCATTTCCAGCGTTGGTGATAGTGACCCAAAAGTCGATAGTTTTCTCAGGTCCTAACTCTTCATAGTCCCACTTCTTTTTAACTTTCACCACACCACTTGGTTCAACTGTAACCCACGGATTTTCGTCTCTAATTTTAAAAGTTTCCCGATCAGTTTCTTTTTCGAGAGTAAACACGGCACGTCCTTCAACTTCACCATCGGCTTCAGTGAATTCAATACGCTTAGTTGGACGAACCGCACGAGTTACTCTTCGCTTTTGTCGGTGAAGCGTTGGCATTTCTTTTCGTTCGCGGATAATAAATTCAATAAAAACTTGAGCGGGTTGACTTTTCCGCGGGGGAGTTCCCGTGTCGTGTGCTAAAACTTGTAATTCTACTTCATGTCCATCTGGTTCACCAGCTAGAATGAGTTCTCCTGTCTGCGGTACTATAACCGCAAGATTTGTAGGAGTCTTAATTGAATAATATATACGATCACCATCTGCGTCAAAAGCACGTACTTGACCAATGTTCGAGAACCTTTGCCAATGTGCTGTTCCATTCCTGCAATTATTTTCACACGTACCATTCACGGCAAAATAGTATATTTCCTGTTCAAATAAAGGTTCGTGGTCGTTCTCATTGGCAACATTAATCCTAATTGGAAGGCTCGCCTTATTCGCCCCGTGTATGTCAGTAGCCTGAATAACTAAGTCATAATATTTCTTTATTTCAGCATCTAAACTCTGCATAGCAATTATTTCGACATCGCCATCAGTTACAACTGACCTAACGTCAGAATCAGGAGATTTAGAGCTGTCGCGGAGTGAGAATATTGATTGGTCGTTGCCTTTTATAATTTTGTAGGCTATAGGGCCAACATTAGCTAGTGCAGTAGCTTTTATGGGTGGGAAATCTACCACAGTGCCTGGTGGAGCATTTTCGTTAATTTCCCCGTGCAGGCCGTTTGTTTCCGTAAAATGAATCATTTTTCTACGATCCATGACTAAAACATGAAGTGTATGAGCCGAACTACTAAACGGAGTTTGCTCTAAAACTGCGAGATTTAGTGGTTGATTTAACAAGGGTCCAAGATCGGCTGTGGTCATCAATAGTCCATCATCTAAAAGTGCAAAGTAGGGTGCATATTCGGGGTCCAGAAGAGTGTATCGTGAATGATTTCCGACAAAATGGCGAACAGCATGACCTGGGCGGACATCATGCGGCAAGAGGATGAGCGCACTCGTCTCCAGCGCTATCGTTAGGACGCAGAGCAACGCTCCTCCTGCTAGCACAGTGCGCGCCATAGCTAACGAAGCCTGTTTCAGTTATCCCAACATCTCCAACTATAACAAAAAAATATTTTTTTAATAAAGTAATAAGTTGGCCTATTCTAGTATGCGGTAGGTAGTTGCAGTTGTATGCGAGAGCGATCCCGTGACGTCCCACATGGCGGCAGGGGGGGGAAGTTGGGTTTTAGTGGGTATGCCGGTCTCATTAGCCGGAGAGTCTCCACATAACCACCCCGGGGGAAGTCGGGTGGTATCCGTAATAGGATTTCCCAACTATAAAAAAAAAAAAGTATGCGGTAGGTACCTACTGCTTTTTATTTCTTTACTTATCTTAATTTTAATTTAGTATGTAATTGACTTTTTTAACTTTAGAAAATTTACCTAATCAGTATAAATTCAGAAACGTCTTGATCCTATTGTTTAATTAATTAATTATATTATTATTGTTTCTAATCTGTTGTTACTTACAAGTGTTAGTATGACATTATTTTTTGTACATTCAATTATATTTTGTAAAAACAAATGACATCTATAGATTCTATTATATTTTTATTTTACCAACTAACTTCTCGTGTCTTCTGTACATTCTACATGATATTGGTGAAGTAATCTGTGCTCATCTGGCACGAGAGAATTGAGTCAACTATATTTCATATCAAAATTTTAGAAGGTTATTTTAATTTCACTTAAATAACATCTGAGTGAGATTAAATAACAGCGCAATGCCTACGAAATATTACTATTACCTAAAATAGACATTTTTATTAAAAAATCCTATTCAAGATATTTAAGTATATAATATAGCTGACTTCTAACATGCTCACATTCAATTAACGATAGAAATCTGAATCCAATTGGAAACAGACGTGACGCGAATAGTCTAGGAGCTGGTCGTTAGTAGTGGTCGATAATGCAGTGCAATGTCCAGTAATAATAATAGTATCACATGATATGACAGCATGAAAGTGTAAGGCGCGACGGCATCGACGTAGGGCGGCACACATGGAGAGCTTTATTTAGGCGGCAGGCAGTAACGCCGGCGTCTCGCGACCCGTCGCCGCCGATCAATACCCCCTTTGCGCCGCCGCGCGACGTTTTGCGAGCAAATCTAGACTGTATGCGCTCCATTTCACGACACACCATCAAATATTCAAACACTTATTAAACTGAATAGAAACTCATTTCAACGTCACTGTTCATAAATATGCACTGAATCCAAAATTTTAAATTAGCAGCTGCTGGATTTGCTTTATCACCAATCCCTAGATGTTTATTCAAAAATAATTACACCACAAAAACTATAACCCTAATAATTATCAATTTATTATAAATATTTGCTTCTATTCATTCATCATTTCTTCTTACTTTATCTTTATTCATTATTAGTACGAATGTAAACAAATATATAAGGCACATAAATTTGCAATATTACATACATAAAATATACAAATTTTCTAGAAAATATCTTATTATATATCACAATATTTTCTTGAACTATGACACGATACGTACTTATTATGGATGTGGATAAAAACGCGATATCGCAGCGTTCTGTGTATGTTCCCTTTCATACGTCACAAAGCCGTACGCAAGCGGCGTCAAAACGCGACTGATGACTGAAATCTGCAGCGCGCGCGCGTATTGAGCGCGCCGCCCGACCCCGCCACCCCCGCTATAGCCGCCCCTGCTCTTGGTACACTACGAACGTTAGAGTCGTTCCTCCCCTTGAGCTCTGGCTTCAAAGCTTGGTGCATAGCTAGTAGCTAGTAGCTACTCAATACACACAGCCATTACCAAGCTTTTGTGTAAAATTAAAAATCAGCTAATCTTTTTTTTTATTATTTAAAAAGCGAAATTTATTTAACAGGTAACTAAAATGTTTTCTTGATAGCGACATTTTATTTAACTTAGGCGTAATTTTGTCCATGCCTATTAAAATTTTAATAGCAATCATATTATGTACAATGTACATGACTTATTCAAATCATATAACTATAATCACACGTTTATTCGAGGTAGGATTGTTAACAAAATAGCATATAAATGCTAATCCAAGTTAAAGATATTACATACTACTAAAATACGTAAAGCTGTTACAGCGTTAAAAAATAACAAACATGCACACTCATTAACTCCCTCAGCAACTTTCGCGCTTATAATTTTAGTGTGATCTTCGATCAACAATACTACGTTAATCGAAGAGTGTGATATATGAATAACTAAAAAAACGTTTGTATTCTTTATTTCCATTTAAAAAAAATATGAAAACAACACTTTGGTTGATGTAAATGAAACGAAATAAAAAAAATGGAAAGTTGGAAAGTGGGCAGGGACACATACAGGTACGGCGGAGTAAAAATCTTTTGTGTTAAACATTTTTGCAAAACATTTTTTTTTCACATTGAATCATGGACGCCGAAGGAGGGCTCAGGGGATGCACTTGCACTCCCTGACAAAGAAAGTCGAATAATAATTTTATTTTCGATCCGGTCATGGTCAATCATGGTTACTTCCGTGGTCATAATTGCTGTAAAGCATTCAAAACCTTTAAAAATATGGCAAAATGTTATCGATTGCTTTGCTAATTTTAGGTATATACAGTCATTATAATTTATATGATAAAATATCAAGTTAGTAGAGTTCAATTGAAAAATTTACAATAAAATATATTTATTATTATATACTAATATAATATTACAAACAGGTAAAGTTTGTGAATTTGTGACGTTTGCAGGGGGTAATCTCTGTATCTACTGAAACGATTTAGATGAATTTAGTAAAAAGATAGTTTGAGACCCTTTTTTTTTTTTTTTTTTTAACGTTGGGAAATGCATTGACGCACGACGTGTGGGACTCACCGGCGTAATACAGCCAGTACTACCCACTAAAACCCAACAAAACCTTCCCCCGTCTTAATGGGGCGTCGCAGGATCGCTTACGCATTCAACTACGACGCCCCGACGGCAGGTCTGCCGAAGCAGACCACCACAACCATGGGGTTGCTCCAAGGTCCACTCTGCTATCAGAGAAGTACCAGGAGCAACCCGCATGGTACATCGCCCTCGGAAGAGGGCCACCTCCCACCGCCCACCGAAGTGGGCAACCTCCCTGTGCGTTTCTTAGCTTCGCGCCCGCTTGGGTTGCCGTGCACTACTGAGCCCCCCCACCACGACAAGGTGAACGCACGTTGGGGGGGATAGTTTGAGACCCTGGGAAGGACATAGAATACTTTTTATCCCGGAAATCATTCCTTAAGGGGGTGAAAATAGGGATGAAAGTTTGTTTTGCGAAGCAAGGGTGAGTCGCTAGTTATGTATAAAATAAATAATGATAAATTAAACATTGAATGATCTGGGATAGTAATAAAGTTAATAACAAATAAAAATTTAATAACTTTATTAACCTTATATTACTAATAATACTCTTTTTAATGTTAGAAATATACATTAATTATCCATACTTAATATTATAAATGTGAAAGTGTGTTTGTTTGTGTCTTTCTTTCACGTCAAAACGAAATGACGGATTGACGTGCTTTTTGGTGTGAAGATAGTTGGAGAGCTGGAGAGTAACATAGGCTACTTTTTATCGCGGGAGATCATCTCATTCCCACGGGAAAACACGTTATAAAACAATATAAAAATTTATTTCTGATCAGAATTACTTGAAACTTGGTTTTAATGCTCTTCAATACAAATAAATAAATAGTTGTTTTAGCATTTTCCAAATTCATCCTATAAGGGGGTAAAATAGGGGATGAAAGTTTCTATGAAACCTAGGTATCTACCTTTTTAGAGATTTTTTTGTAGTTTTATCACGAGCGAATGCGCGGGTTCTGCTAGTTTACTATAAAAATATAAATAAAAGTAAAAAAAGCCAAAGATCAGAGAGTCGTCGAGTCTAAGGGCGCACGGGAGAGCTGTGTGCGGTGATGTACAAAGTGAGTGAGAAAGATGACGATTATGCCATCTGCTGGGAAAAAACTCAAACAAAGTGATGGTATAGAGTATTAGTTTTGCATGATCAGCGTTTTTAATTATTTTTTGTTAATTAAAATAAGTGCTGTGTATTTAATATCCCAATATATTAATGTCCCCAACATATTCTTTAAAAATTTAATTAATTACACTTTACCAATTATAAAATAATGTTATTTGTACTTCGAAATTTTTAAACATTTTTAGCTTTTTTTTCTATTATGTCAAAGTTTAAAATACTTTTCAAAAAGCTTAAATATTACCAGATTTCTGCTATTTTCAATATCGTACAGTTAATTTATAAAAATAATTTTTAATACTAACAATAATTGTCACATTGTAAACATTAGAAGCACTGGTTTGAGCGACAACTGTGTAGGTTAAAACTGATCGCTTATTTTCATCTTCTGATTCAATTACATTTAAAACATGACCTGATTCAAATAATTTTTAGCCTTTTTTATCTTTTTGACCTCTAATCCGATCAATTTTTATCGGTAAAAAACTAAATCTTATTACATTTTACATTATTCAAGCATAACTAATATTATTTATTACACTGTTTACATCACTATGTTTTTCTTCTTCAATACCAGGGCGCTCTACTTTCGACAGAAGTGCTGCCCTCTATAGTTCGCGTAATACTATATTAGTATATAAATGTGAAAGTGTGTTTGTTTGATTGTCCTTCTTTCACGTCGGAACAGAGTGACAGATTGGCATGATTTTTTGTTTCAAGAAAGTTGGAGGGCTGGAGAGTGACATAGGCTACTTTATACCAAAAATTTTTTTTATGATTCGAATTACTTGAAATCAGTCAGAATCAGTATTAATGCTCTTCAATACAATTAAATAAATACATACGTGTTTTTAGAAATTCATCCCATAAAGAGGTAAAATAGGAGATGAAAGTTTGTATGAAACCTACCTCTTCGTACCTAAAAAATAATAGGCCAACCTAAAAAATAATAGGCCAAGTGTGAACCAGAGTTAAAGTTTACAAGTTAATCAATTTTAAGGTCTTTATTTAGGTAAACCTGAACACTATTTCTAGTAATAAAAAAATTTTCGAGGTTGATGCCTACATTTAATTCATAATGTAGGAAACTATTGGCTCAGCAAATAAGGTTTAGAATCATATATCTAAATTTTCAATACCTATCTAAAATACACCTTTGCATACATTGAACTTTCTTTTTCTCTTAATATATGTACATATATGTATGACTAAAAAAAACATTTTCACCCTATGGAAACTTTTTTATAGAAATCATTCCAATTTTTATAAAAATCCTTGTATATTTTTGACATAATAAAATATTATGTAAATCTCATTTCTAAAGCATCTTTATTTTCCTTAATAGTAAAATTATTTCAATTATTTTCAAAGTATAAAATAAATATAAGAAAGTGTGATGATGTGTATCCAGCTTTATGTCAATGTATGCAGAATTATTCTCTGTGTCACATCAAAGATAGCCCTCTTATACCTCATTTCAGAATCAAGTTTACTTATTTTGAGAACATACTTTATTTTTCAAGACTTTGAATTAAGGAAGACTTTTAATTAAGGAATTGTTAAATAAAATATTAAAAAAATTTATAAACAATTATATTTAAAACAATGATAATAATAAATTTATAGACTAGTATAAAAATAGCCAAAGCTTAGCACTGAGCAATTTCTTGTGACTGTGAATAAATATATATCATATACATATATTTTATTATTAGTTATATTTTATATAACATAACATTTTTAAATTTTATAATAATACACACTCTGTGCTATATGGGTAAGCTCAATTACCTTTAACTGATTTATCATCTCGTTATATATTGTGAGTAAATGGCTTAGATGCTACATTATCACTGTTATTTTTGTATCTTATCTCTTTAATAGTCAATTGTTTTCCCTGATGAATCCTTTGTAAATGGCTTCTCATATCATAAGATCTTGAAAATGACCGGTGACATACTGGACACTGAGTTTTGCCTGCGTGAGAGTCCTTGTGTAATGTTAAAGATGTGGGATGTTTGAAACCTTTTGGACACAATTGGCATCTAAATTTAGCCAAATCTGATTCTGTAAATATAAACAAAATATCAATAATTTACTATAACATTTTTCTTACTTAAAACAAATATGATTATGTAGTAATGTAGGTGTTGTTAAAGGTAATCTTTTAATTCTTAAGTAATAAATAATTTTGTACAAACCTGTATTACTTTTATCAGATAAATCTTCAGCTGTGGCGTTTTGTGTATCTATTTGCATGTCATCAATAGGGTTTGTTGATAATTTTATCTTTGTAGTTTCAATCTTAGATGTTTCAGGCTGAGGTTCAATCACTTCATATTCTGGTTCTTGAACAACTAATATATTGTCATGTGGAATGTTGTTATCTCTGGTAATAGGTATAGTAGCTAGATTCATAGGCTCATCAGTGGGAATGGGCAAAAGAAGTGCATTTGGTCTACTTGACTTAGAACTTAGATCTAATGAATTATTCTCACTAATTCTTATCTGGTTCTTAGATGAATCATCTTCAACATTATCAGTCAATCCCTTAACCTCTAGAAACTCTGCAGTTATCAAAAAAGATTCCAATTGTTCCTGGAAAATGTTTACTTCACCGTGATACATAAAGTTGATAATAGCATTGAGATCGTCATATTTAAAGTTTCTAAATATAATCACAGGATGTTGACATGGGTTTTCTTTGAATATTTGTTTAAAATAATTACTGCAAGCGGACAGTAACATTTTGTGAGCCCGAATTTTACCACCATCACAACATAAGGTGACATCAACTAAATCATTTTCAAATCGCAACACGTTAAATGCTTCAGTTACATGCGTAACATAATTATTCCAACGTAAAGAAAACTGAGGTGCGTTATTCATTATTTTACATTGAGCTATAACTTAAATAAAATTAATAATCATTTCTTATTGAAATAGATAACAACATAATGTTTTTTTTTATATTATCTTTCCTGATTCCTCTACAATAACTTATGGCCTTCGAGTTAAGCACAGACTAACTGATTTATGTAAATCGAGAATAAATCATTGTACATAGAAGTTTTATTTCAAATCTCTAACAATATCTATCTTATTTAGATATTGTGAAGAGTTTAAACTGCGAGTTTTAATAATAATTTTCTAGTACAATAGGGAAGATTTCTCGAAAGGAGGGCGTCATACGTATGGCCTATTTACATTCAGTCTGAGGTTAAGCAATTTATTGTGATATTTATTTTGTACCTGGTTTTTTGCTTCTATTGTGCTCGCATCATAACTATGCAATGTATTGTACCCAGAAGTTAGACCGATTGAAGGAAAAATTGAGAAGGAGAGGTGCATCCTGTGATGCATAAGCCGCTAGTGGTAGAAACGTGAAATTTTTAAGACGTATTCTTTATATGATATACGCATCCGATAAAAAAAAATTTTCGAAATTCATCCGCTAGGCTAACTTGACATTAATTCTCTTCAATACAATTAAGTACGTGTTTCAGCATTCTACGCAATTCAATCCCATAAGATAGTAAAACGGGGGATTAAAGTTTGCATTATATCTGTATGATATATCTGTAATAATATGTAAAAAAGTACAAAGAATAAAAAAATCATCTGCAGACGATTTAAGAGTTTTAAAATAACTTTCTTTAAAATGATGTCCACATAGCCTTAAATATGAAGATCGTAATTTCGCCAATTTTGGTCGTCTTTTTGCTTTAGAAACAAATGATATCTATTTTCTTTGCATCCTGGTACTGCACAATTTGTCATTTAAATTAAATGAAAAAAGAAAACCATCCACACTATAGAGCTTTAAATTATACTGAGGCTATAGTTATCGCGATATCTGGCGGGAGAAAATGGCAATATTCTACTCCTTTTTAATCTCGTACTTTAATACAGATTAAATAATAAATATACGTTGTTGTCTTCATAGATGAATAATAAGTCTGTTTGCGCCATAGATGAAGTATGCACAGAGACGATATTTATTATTTAAATTATTTACACACTAAAATACTAAAATGTGTTCATATTTCCTACATAACATTAGATATGTATCGTTGAGTAGTTAAGACCAGCCCCGGCCGAGCTCCATACAAGCGCATATTCATAAAACCGTAGGCGAATAAGATGAAGCGGGGGCCGGGGGGGTCAAGATATTCAAAGAAAAATTGTTCCCGATTTAACCATTATAAATTAAAAATAGCTACATGGGATATGTTGATTAATATCTTATTATATTATAAAATATACTTAAATTAAATATGCTTAAAATGATTTTTTTTATAAATCATATGTGCTATATATTGATTTATATAATTATATTCTAAATGATTTTAACTATTATCGAATATCTTATATTTTAATTATATTTCATATCAAACATAAAATATTTATTAACATAGGTTTTTATGTTATAAAAATTGATTTATATTTTAGAGCTATGTCATGATATTTGCCTTAATATGGGGACAGTTATGGCATAAATGGCAAGTCAAAATATGCTGTCACTTTCACGGCTATTGTATTTCTTTTGAGTCGCCACGCATCTCTTTCTAAGGGTGTGACGTCATATGCGAATCTGGGAGAATTTAGTTCGTAGTGATGTAAAAATCGGTATTCCTTACGATTACGATTAAGTAGGGATGTATTTTATCGTAATGTTATCGGTATTCAACAACTGTTATCGGTTTTATAGTAAGGTTTTCATTTTTATGATATTAATTATAATTAGAAATAAAATACAAAGATAGGTTTCTCGTTTTTTTATTTTACTATTTTAATGCTACCACTAGTTCGGAAAAATGCCTCAGACCTGAGAAGAATTAGCAAGGACTGAGGTCCTTGACGGGATAACCTTTTTTTTAACATTAATAATACGTTGTTATTACAATAAAAGGACATTTTTAAAGAATTTTATCAATTGAATACAAAATACAAAAAATATAAATTAGTACAACGATTTGGTATAAAATATTACAATGCAATAAAATTAGAAGTAACATAGAACAATAGTTTTTGTTAATAACAATATCATATTAAGCGAGTAGTAGGTTTAATTGTAGGTATAAATTAAAATCTAGCTTTTGTTTGAAGTTTTAGCTCTAGAACCACCTTCATCTTCAGTTTATAAAATGCAAAGATTCGAGATTAGCGCATTTGAAAAAACAAACATTTTAATCTTATATAAATTTAAAAAAAAATGCAAATTTCAGTAAAAAAAATGAATAATAAAATTAATTTTCTTAAAAGCTTAAGAAATTTAAAATCAAAATGTACATAGTAATAGTAAAAATTTGGTGTAAAAAGAAATAACAGCTAAACATACTCTAAAATAAAATTTCTAAATACATAGTTCTATCAAATGTAACAATTATAATTAATATATTAAAATTATATACTGCTATAGTAGTATATTTTAAGAAATTATAATATTATTTCACAGAAATCAAATGAAATATTCATACAGTATTTTTATACTTAATAGAAACATAATGAAAATGGAAAATTCTAAGTGATTATCTTTTAAATAACCAAGAAATGAAACAAACAAGAGTAATAAATATTAAAAGTTAATTAATGAAAAAATATTGGAAAATCATTCACTACTCTGAAGACTAGATGAGTTAGACCATAGCTAGGCCCTTCTGAAACTTTCATATTAAGCAAATTTTCTATTTCCAGACCCTTTTTTCTCGAATCCACTTTATGCATTCTTCAATTAAAATTTATACACCTTTGTTTAACTTTTATACATATCATAAATAATGAGAATGCTCTTAAAAATATTTCTCTATGATCTACACAAGTGTACCAAGAGGTATCAAGATTTTCAAATGCTTTTATTAAATCGGGAAATATGTAAACTTCACAAATCTTTGGTAATTCTCTTTCAATTATGTAAATTGCATACCATACTAGAGATGACAGATTCTTAGAAGGATCAAGTATTTTATTATTAATGAATAAAATAATCTCAGCTGTGAATAAGCCATTCTCAATATTTACATTTAATGTATTACAATAATTGTATTCTTCCTGGAAACTAAAAGCCTTTATCAGGAGACTTATAGATGTTGAAACACTTCAACTGCTGATACACCTGCGCAGCATATACTTCACCTGTAAATATATTATTATAAAAATTAATGTAATACAACAAATAGTCACCATAACTATAGTATATGTACTAGTACCTACTATAGATGAATAGTAGCTTATTTAAATATAGTAATAGTTTATTATTATTAGGGTCTAGGTAGATAAGCCAATTAGGCCCTTAAATAGCTTTTAACATTATACAGTAGATAGGCTACAGAGTTGATAAATTGTTTTTAATGGACTGAGCATTACATGGATAAGTGCATTCAAACAATAAACAAACTCTTCAATTTTACATATTAGAATAGAATAGTATAATAATAAATAGTATAATAATATCAATAGCTTCAAGAAGTTTCCTTCTTAAAAACAATTTCATATTAAATATAAGATAATATCCAAGATCTAAAGTAATATAATAATATCTTAATTTACTTAATTTAACAATATAGTTACCTTCATCTTAACAAAAGAGTTTGGATAAATATGCCTGTCAGTAAGTTTGTTAGCCTTGCAGCACCTTTATGGTCATCTACTTTATACAACATATGAACATAATCCCATTGAGCACGCTGACTGCCTAGGAGCAAATTCTTTTTCTGAAAATTATTACTAAAACCTTTCAGTAAATGAGGTACATCATACTTATGATAGGTTTTGTTCCCATTAACTTCATAATGGATAGCACTTGATGCATCATTGGCACTACAAAGTATATTTACCTTAGTATCAGAAATTAATGAATTTATTGCAGCTACATTGGCAGAAACCTGGTCAGATAGAGTTACTCTAGAAATAAATCCTGTTTATAAGAATTTCTATAAGTATACGTTATAAAATTGAAGTGCATCTTTATAAGGCATTCTATGGCATGAAAAACCTGTTCCCTCCTGACAATTCGGAATTATAATGCTTTCCCATGATTACACAACATTAATAAAAAACCAATAAAAGGAAGAGAAACACTAATTAAGAAATCACAAATTTTGCATCCAAGCACAAATCTTAACTATATCACTGATCTACATTAATCAGCACTTATCCACATTAATCAATACTAATCAACAAATTGATAAAATGTAAATTTAAAGTGTAAAATAATATAAAAACTGCAAGCCCTCACACCCTAGTCCCCAGGGGCGAGTAATAACAACGGTTAAAACTTGAAAATTTCAAAAATGACAAAATATTGCAGTGACGTCACAGTAGTGACGTATGTAACTGCGACAGAAATAAGTTGTTGTCCCACTCGTTGTCGCCAAATGTAGAGATAGCATGCTAGTTACCAAGCAAATGAAAGGGATAGATAGATCCACCAAGAGCTCGTATGGAACTAATTCATCTATTTTATTTGTCATCCATGGTTAAGACTCGAGTGTTGTGAAATTATATGGTACATAATATCACAACATTAAATGTACACACCAAGAAACGGTTGAAACATTGTTATTTCCTCAGAAAGTTCATTTAAACAAAAACCATCAAAAGAGCTATTATCTAAAATTGTAAACGTAATTCTTACATGTATTAAATAAATGTTTTGAGAATAAGACGAAGTAGTACGTAATGGACATCAATCAGCTTGTTTATGAAGATCAAAGCATAAAAATTGTTCCATCAGTTGAAGAATCTTTAAAAGTAATAGGTCTTAATGTAGATCTGGATGAGAGGACATTGTTATGGTTTAATCAACTTAAAGATAAGTGGAAAACATGGAAAAAAAGTCCTGCTGTAGATCAACATTTTGAGACTTTTTTTCAATCAACACCAGACCCTTATAGAGTTGCTTTAGTTTGCCTCATAAAATGTGACGAATTTAAGGACTGTAAACCTAAAACTTTGCCTTTCTATATTTCCGAAACTTTAAGCAAATGGTCTCAATCCAGCGGTTTGTTACCAGAAGAATCATTGAAATTACCTGCATTTCAAATTGCGATACGGCAAAGAAATCAACATTTTCTGAATTTGATCATAAAAACTTACAAAGTGTATACTATAAAAGAAACCATACTACCCACAGTTAAGGATATGATTAAAAATGATAACTGCAAACAAGCATCTCAAATTGTGATAGCAATGGAATTATTTGATGACATACCAGTTCAAGATTTACTTTTTCCTCTTATATTACAAGACAAACCTAATATGATAGATGAATATTTATCAGAATGCCCAAACCAAGTAAGACCTTTACTATCATTTCTAGACAAATTATTAGATAAAAATTTTAGTATAAAAGAATATGCACAAAAGTACATAATGGATAATCGAATATGTAATGTTAAATATGATAAAATTCATTATAAACCTCTCGGAAAATTGGTGGCTCGCTTGTGCAACAAATTTAACATTCCAGTAGAAACATGTAAAAATCTTAGCAAAAATCGCACTTCAGGAGGACTCAGATATTTAATTTATCAGAAATATGTTGAGCACAATATTAGTTCCTCAGTTTGGGACGACTTGGTAAAAGACTCTCTTCAGAATAGTGCTGAATGTGCTCAGGAATTTATTGATATGTTGACTGAATATGATACAAATGAGGCATTAAAATGGGCTTCATATTTTCAATTACCTGAAAATAGTTTACCATCAGCTTTAAAGAATTTATCTTTACAAGAAGCAGTTACAGAAGATGAAAATTGGGATACAGTGGAAAATGTTAAACTAAATTATTATAGACTTCCAATTTCCGAAAATAATATTATAATCATTAATACAACAGAACAGTTCTATGATCTAGTGACTAGCTTATTAAGTTCTAGTGTAGTAAGTATTGATTGTGAATGGAAGCCATCTTTTGGAGCTGCACAATCACAAGTAGCTCTGATGCAAATTGCTACATTTGACTATATTTACTTAATTGATACATTAATATTAAACAATAAACAATACACAAGCTTTTGGTATAGGTTCAATAAGTCATTGCTAGATAATGCAGAAATAATAAAATTGGGTTTTGGTCTAGAACAAGATCTTAGAGAAATAAAGGCTTCAATAAATGGCTTAGGTAGTATTAAAATCAAAGGTGAAGGTTTTCTAGATTTAAGTTTACTATGGAAAAGTCTTATAAATATTGGACTATCGTTACCCAGTGATAGTGACAGTGGTGGCAACAGTTTGAGTTCTTTAGTGCAAGCTTGTTTTGGTTTGCCACTAGAAAAGGCTGAACAATGTTCCAATTGGGAATTAAGACCACTGAGAAGCACTCAGATATATTATGCTGCTCTTGATGCTTATGTGCTTTTAGAAATTTACAAACACTTGCAAAAATTGTGCAAAGAACAAAATATAAACTTTGAAGAAGTTTGTAATGATGTTATGCTTGATAGGAAATTAAAAAGTACAAAAAAGATGAAAGTTGTTGATAGACTTCAAGCTTCTATGCAGGAATTAAAGCCAAAAAATGTTAATGATATCAAAATACTTGTAGAACCTGAATTATCAAATTTATTAGCATATTTTCGATATTGTGGTATTGACACTATTGTGACATCTCCAACAATGCTCTGGCATGATACAGTTCATTTTGCATTGTCTGAAAATCGTATAATTTTAACAGGTAAATTAAAATTTTCTCCATCTGTAAAATTCTCACAACATTTAATATTAGACTTAGGCAAAGGAACTATTAAAGAACAGGTGAAGAAAACATTATCTAAATATAATATAGTTTTTACACAAAGTGACCTTTTGAGTAGATGTTTATGTTGTAATCTAAAAGATCTTAAAGAATTATCACCCAATGAAGTTCAAGATATCTGTAATAAATATAAATTGTCTGGTGATTTGAATCCAAGCATCAATAGGCATGTCAGTGATAATGAAGAAGATGACTATTATGAAAACTTTCTGAGTGATTCTGATGGAGAAGAGTTATTCTTATATCAGCCTGTAAATAGCCAAAATCGATCATGTTACACAAGTAAAGGTGCTGTAATAGACATAAGTGACGTTGATAAATTGTCACAATCATATGAATTTGCTACTTTATGTGAAAGTTGTGGGAAATTATATTGGGATGGTGATCCCTCATTCATTTCAGTAAAAGAAGTAGTCACATGTTAAAGGGTACAAAGTATGATAAGAATAAACATTCAGTATGTCCATAATTTTTATTATATTGTAGAAACACCATACCTATATCTTATTTTGCGTTAGCATTTTTAATTGTTGCAAAAGTATTATAATAAAAGGCTTTATATAAATCAGAATCAATTAATATGGTGTAATTGTGTAAAAAATTTAAAACAATGAATCTCACTATGAATGAGTTTATTCACAATATGCTTTTGATTTCCTTAAAATACAAATTCAAATGAAATCTATTAAAAGGAGAAAATACTTTTATTTCTACTTTTGTATCTGCTTTGATTTTTCTTTTAAATCCATGAGGTGGATAAACGGTGCAAGCATGTTTATATTAATATTTTCATTATATCCATATTTAGTTATGTAATTATAGAAATATAAAATATAATTATGTAATTTAAAATTTTGTTGTCTTTTTGAATAGAACCAATTTGAATTCTTTTGAATATTAAGTTTTGTTTATATGTTCTATTTAGGATAGGTTTACAAACAGTAGGAAAAGCTAATTGACGTGTGATAATTCAAAATCAATGTTGTATCATGGATCTGATTAAAAATTGAATAATAGTATATTTAATAAGACAAAAAGAAACAATATTAGCATTACAGTTAGCTCCCCCGACTAGCAATTATTATAAAAGATATAATTAAATATAAAGTAAATAATGTATTACATTAAACATTTATTTATATGTACATTGATTTGTGCAAGCAAAGTGTAAAATCTTTGTACAATCTTTAAGCTATAACCATTAAACAAACATCATTAAATATTGTAATAATTTACTAGACATAACGCTTATTTTTTCGTTTATAATTATTAAAATACTATATTAATATTCTTGTATTTTTCTTTAAATGCAGTAACTTCCCCCAGATTTAGTTCAGGATTATCTTGCAAATTTAATTTATCCAACTGCAAGGCTGGGAAACCTTTTAAGGTAGTCAATTTGTTGCCAGACAAGTTCAGTTCCTGAAATTAACAACATACAGCATACAAAATGTCTCAAATAAAAATAAAACGTTTATTTAGACTTATTTCCTTAATAATAAGGTTTGTTTGCCTTTTAATATGTGGTTTTTAGCATAGATATAGTCAATAGACGAGAAAGTGACAATCTATACATATAATAAAATTCTAACTGAGACCAATCTACATTGAATATTTTTTGGAAAATCTTATTGAAATAGACATTATTATTGATACAGAGGCCGAATCTACAGATTTTAGACATTTTTGTCTGTCTGTCTGTTACCGCATCACAGAAAAACCACTTGAGGGATTTCAATGAAATTTGGTTTGATAATAGCTGGTTATCCGGGCAAACATATAGGATAATTTTTACTGCGGCTAAATATCTCAACTCTGAGAAAACGATAATAAACGTTAAAACGTAAGTAGGGACGAACCCGAGCGAAGCGAGGGTGAGTTTCATATAAGTAACACCAAGTGCTTCCCATGGTATAATATTATTGTTAAAAATTAGGGTTTCCTCAAGTCACTTTAATAGAATTCATAGGGATTGCCTTACAAATGAAGAAATTACCTTACAATGCTGCAATTTTACTAATGATGGTAAAATCGTCGATGTCAACTCTTGATTTGATAAATCAACGATTTTACAAAAACTATAGTATTGTAAATGAGGTAGACTTGTTATTTTCTCGGTAAAATCTATTTTGTACTGCATACATGTACTTTTATAATTGTCAGTTAACTGATTTTCAATGTTCCATCTAGATATTAAATCACTGTAGTATCCTGTTCTTTGAGAATCTAATTGTTTTAGTGTTTGAAGATTGGCTATAACTTCTTCGTGGTATAGACTTGCGTTGATACAATGTAAGAAGATGGTAGTTGTGAGTAATGTCCCTGAAACATACATTTTCTATGAATTATAATATGTAATATATATACACATCTTTACTCTGTCTTATGTTACACAAGGAGAACAATAAATTTTCTTTATTTCTCTGCTTTCAAGTTTAATATTGAGACAATTAAGAAATGTTTTTACTAAAGCAATAATAATATAATATACTAGCGACTCGCCCTCGCTTCGCTCGGGTTCCTCCCTAGCTTGCTTTCCAATACCAAAAGTTTCATCCCCATTTTAACCCCCCTAAGGGATAATTTCTGGGATAAAAAGTATTCTATGTCCTTCCCGTACTCAAACTACCTTCTTACCAAATTTCATCTAAATTGGTTCAGTAGATCCAGAGATTACCCCCTACAACGTCACAAAATCACAAACTTTACCTCTTTATAATACTTTATAGTATAGATAGTTTTGGTATCAGTGTAATATTTCTTTTAAAAACATATATTTTTAATAATAGTTTTCTATCTTACATCTATTATCTGGTTCCAAAGCCAGCAGTTGCCGACAAGCACTAAGTTGCTCATTCAACTCCTCCACAACTGGTTCAGAGTATTGATTTTGAAAGCTTATTTCATTCTTTCCCACATATACAGATGGTTCATAACTTTCACAAATAATTAATTCTTTTTGTTCATTTGATAAGATATGCTCGACCTGGAAGTATTTAAAGCAACTATTATTATAAAAAAATACTTAACATATTTGGTCTTAGAAATTTTAGCCGTCAGGGAAATGCCAGCCATGTATTTTATTAACGGAAAGTTTATGCTATTAATAAATATTATTATTTACAAATATTATTAAAGCCTGTGATTTTAAAATACCTAAGATTGCACCTACTAATGTATGGTTCTAATGCGATTTTAAAGGGGTAGTAATAGATTACTTTTAAATTAACTGGAAAAAAGTATTGGGAAAAAATGATAGAAAAAAATAGTTAGTGAGAGCTAGGTAAGAATGTATAGTAATAGTATGGTGTATTTAAAAGTAATAACCTTAACTTCTCCATCAATAACATCTAGTTTATGCTCTAAAATCCATAAGTCATCATACTCATATCCAGTACAAGATTTCCATTCCCCTATAAATTCTACACTATTTAAATAGACTTTTATATTATTTTCCATATATTTTTTTGATACACTCTTGCTCCACGCAATGGTTGCTTTGGATGATGTAATGCAACAAGCAACTGGTTGTATAGTAACTTTGACTGCACCTATAAAGATAAATAATAACCACTAAGTTTAAGTAAGCATTGCAATTTTTAAAACAATAATGTATTAATATTAATGTAATAAAATGTTTTTTAAACCAGAATGTATTACTTAGGGATATAATTTTTACTTTGTGTAAATCACATCTTTAACAATTTGCTTTATATATATAACGCCATCTATCGACATTTAATTGAAATAATTTTTCTTTGCTGATGAGACCCCATGATACAAGTAAAACAGCCAATTGTTTTTGGACTTTGAAGAGTGCAAAATAACACAAAGCTTGAATAAATACTTAAATTATGTTGTATTGATTTTTTTTTAGTAAAATCACGCAATCTTAAAGAGTTAATTATAAAGTTACCTAATAACCATCTCTGATAGAACCAAGCACTAGTGTCATCAGGATCAGTAAAAGCAGCATTTTGGACCATTTTCAATTCATGTTTATGATGATTATCTTGTATTGGCCTTCCTCCTAAAAATATGAATGATACTTCAATTCATTAAGTCCTTTTATATTCTACTTAAAATTATACTTTTCTTTTATACAAACCAATTTTAATAATTTATCAAATAAAATTGTATATTAATTCAGTTTAATTAAAAAACAATATACTTCACCTTTTAAATCAGGATACAATTCTACTAACATTTTACTCCTGTAATGCCAAGCAGAGTAATTGGAAAAATTATCATATAATTTTTCAGTAGTAAAATCAAATTCATCTTGTAAAGGTGGTTTGCATTGACTTACAACAAAACGGCGATAATCCCAAGTATGAACTGGAAAATAATACTGTAATTAAATCTAAAAATACGTAGGACATATTACAAAATATTAAATAAACATTTTATTTAGTCTTGTAATTATGTTTACAATTTCTTTCATCTAATTTGAGATAAGTATTGCAAAGAGCTAGTTCCTTCTTCCAATCCGGATCAGTTCTTGTTGTAAGCACCCATTCTCGTTGATGCCATGCACAGTATGACTTGGGATTGATTTTCAAACAATATTCTGTTAAATTCAGTTCAGAATCATACAATTTGGCAATTTCTTCTTCATTTTCTTTGGTTTTACTGTAAAATAATAATTTAGATATGTTTATGACTAAATTCGAAGAAGTGAAGGGCACAATTCATTTTACATCAATAACATACCATAAAATAAGCAATATTTCTCGTCTTATATTCCATAATGTATAAATATCTGGATTGGATAATAAAACTTTCCCAGTAATATCTAACTGCTCTTCATCCTGTTCCATATTTTTTCTCTGTAATTGCAAATTCGATTTGTATTACAAAACCAATAATTCCATAATATATTATTCACTTATTATATTTACAAAATAGGCAATTCTTGCATCAAGCCTTACCTTGGTAAGAATTTGATGCATAGCATGTTTATAAATCTTTAGTTTTTCTTGCCTTTCTTTTTCTTTTCTTGCTTTTTCTTCTTCTGACGTCCGAACCTTAATTCTGCCATGCTGAACCAAACAAATAACGTCATAATTCATAATGTTATGAAACACTATATATATTGTTACTAAATAGATTTCTTACCATTGTGAGAAGATATTCCTTTCTTTAATTAGGTACTACAAAGAGATCGGCTAAAGCTTTTTGTAGTATTGTATTTTTATATGTAATTATAAATAAATTTTAAATACTATAGGTATATTTTTGTGACAAATATTGTATAACTTTATTGTAAAACGATCAATATCGAACACTAAATTATTAAAGTTTTAAATACAAACTACAAAAGCATTCTCACTCATATTTTTTTGACATTGTCATGGATGGGATGACAATTGACAATGACAAATAAAAATTTATCAGTCTTTGTCAATTTCAATTTCTAATGTCTATCTTTGCATAGATATAGATTAAAAATTGAGATTTTAGATTATTTTCATATAATAATGATCAACATATATTGCTATTGAAGTTTGCTAATGTTGATGAAGTATGAATTTTGCGCTTTTTCTCTCGCCAGATGCCGCGATCATTATAGTCTTCAGTATATTTATTGTAAAGTTCTATAGCGTGGATGGATTCATTTTATTTAAAATTTAATTAAAATGACAAATTGTGCAGTGCCAGGATGCAAAGGAAATGAATATAATTTGTTCCCAATGACAAAAACTGAAGAAATTGTGGGCTAAAAAAAAATAAAGTAATCAATATATCATAAATCACAATCTTCTAGTCAAAGTCTACAGTTGAATATTCTTTTTTTATTATTTGTGTTTTTTATATATTAAAGAGTTTTATACCAACTTTCATCCCCGCTCTTACCTCCTTATGGGATTGAATTTCGAAAAATGCTTAAACACGTATTTATTTAGTTTCAAGTAATTCTGATCATTGCACATAATTGCCAATAATTCTATACCCATATCAACTTTATTACCTTACACTTTATTACCTTAAGAATGACAGAGTTTCATACAATCTTTAATTCCGTATTTTACCCACTTAGGGGATGAATTTTAAAAAGTTCTTTTCTAACGGATGTCTACATCATTTAAAAATACGTCCTCCAAATGTCACATTTCTACAACCAGTGGCTTAGGCTGTGACATTGTTTGTTGCTGTTGTTCCATCGGTCAGTCAAACTCACCACAGGATGCATCTCTCCTTCTCAATTCTTCCTTCAGCCGGTCTAACTTCCAGGTACAATACATTACACAGGTAAGATGCGAACACAATAGAAATATAAAAACGAGTTATAAAAGAAATATCAGAATAAATTCTTTAAAATCTTACTGAATGTAAATAGGCGATACGTGTGGCGCCCTCCTTTCTTCCTCATAATATTTATTTACCTATAATGAATTAATTTATATTTGTAGTCTGTTTTTCTCCTTCACAGATTATTAGACTGACAAGTGCTTTTTCTTAAAATTGTCATGTCATTTCAATTCAGATCATCAGATCAAAGTAAACTTGACTGCGAATAATTATTATTTGCTGTTTTTCTATAAGATTGAATTCCCTTGTTTACATAAATTAATTCATAAAATTTAAAAAATGGAGCTATCTGCTGAAGGAACAACTCCGGAGTATATGGCGTTAGCTGGTATAAAATTCAAGTTATCTTTACCGCAATTTAAAGATGATCCTAAACTGAAAGAAGAATTATTACAAGGAATAAAAGCTGGTCACATGGCTCCTTATTATAAAGAAGTCTGTTCTGATCTCGGTTGGAACTTTGATCAAAAATTGTATGATGAGATGACAAAAGAGAATCAAGATCGACTAGCCAAATTTGAAGATGATGACTCTGAAACACCAGTCTGGCAAGATCGGTAAATTAAACAGTTTTGTATTAAACCAAAACCTGTGCTGACATTATAAATGCATGAGTGTGCCTGTTAGTTTGTTTTCCCTTCACACACGAATGGAACAAAAGTTTGACGAAGTTTTTCGCGAGTATCATATTTTTATCTCAATAAAGAGAGGATAGCAATCTATATTCCAGAAGCAAGGGTCATTTAGACATATAAATTATACTGTTTTATATATTGTATTATATATTTCAGATTGGATTATATGTGCTCAATAGGTGATAAAGAAGCTGCAACAGCTCTAGCCACAACTAAATATGAAGACTCTACTTTAACTACTAATCGTAGGCTAGATGCTATATTTGCCATGTTCAGAATTGCATATTTCCATGGATGTAATGTGAAAGAAATGGGCAAAGCTATTAATAAGGTATTAAACAAATGTCTTGTTTTTTTATTTAAGTAATATAAACTTTTTTTTCTTTTAGTTGCTCGAAATTCAAATGGATTTTATTATTATGTGTTTTACAAATAATGGAGGCGACCTCCAACTGACTGCTGACATACATGTATATGCACTTACCTAAAGAATGAAATAAATTCTAAGATTTTATAATGTAAATCAAAATGTTTATTTTTTAGGCTCATGAGTTAGTTGACAAAGGTGGTGATTGGCGTTCCAGAAATAAACTTAAGGCATATGAAGCAATTTACTGCCTAGCAGTCCGTGATTACAATCATGCTGCTGAACTTTTTATTGACTGTGTGTCTACATTTGAATCTTACGAATTAGTTGATTTTGGTAGGTTATGAAATGTTATTTTTGAAATATAATATTATTATTGAATCTTATGTACATGTGCTTATTCACTTAGAATTATTCAGTTTTATATCACCATATATTTTTTTATATTTACTATTTCCACCTATTATATAATGCTACTCCTTCCACACATCCAGGGTTGATTAGAAGATATTCTTTTAATAATACATATGTCCAAATCAGGCTGTAAATTAACATTGTAAATGCATTTCATGTTTTAAACAGTAATATTACGTTTTTAGGTACAATTATCCAGTATTGTGTACTGGCATGTGCATTAGCACTGGAACGTCATGCATTGCAAGCAGCTTTACGGCGACAGGGCGCAGCAGTACAAGCATTACGTTCACGTTTCCCAGAATTACGAGAACTTGTTGAATCCTTACATGAGTGCCGTTATGCTGACTTCATGAAGAGTCTTGCTTGGGTAAATTACAGCTTTTCAATACATTATAATGAGATTCAATAGAAACTTTACAAATTTAATAAACAGTACTCAAATATTCCCATTTGTTTCTAAATAAAAACTGACCTTGTAACCTCTTTACCTCTTATAATAGAGTCAGGTACAGATTGTGCAAAGAACGATTATGGTTATTCTAAGATAGTGTCATTCAAAAAAAAAAGAATCTTTAGTTACAGAGAAGTAAAAAGTAGCATTTTGTGGTTTCCAGGTTGAAACTCAGATCTGTGTAGACCCAGTCTTTAGACCCCACTACCAGCACTATGTACGAGAAGCTCGCATTAAGGCATATGTGCAGCTATTGCGCGCTTACCGCTCACTCAGCCTTGACAACATTGCGGATACATTCGGTGTCACCCGTGAATTTGTTGAGGATGAAATTTCCACGTAAGTATTTAATAATACAGAAATATACTAAAAATTGGGCTGGGAATCATAAGAATGATGGGTCATTTTGAAATCCCAATTTTATATATAATTTTATAATAACTTGCTAATATGATAAATGAATATATTATAAAACCAACATATTTGAGATAGCCTAGCTAGTTTTCGAAAGACATGTGTAGTCAGTGTAGTCACATTTGACCAGCAATTTTACCAACTTGAGGCCAGCATGGCTTCATATTGAGGAGGCCCATGCCCAGTAACGCGATATTAACAATTATTATGACTGATCAAAACATATCATTATTATATCTTAAAAACTATTTAAGGTTCACAGCAGCTGGTCGTCTCCAATGTCGCATAGACGCGGTCGCGGGCTGCGTGGTGACGGGCGCGGGGCGCGGCGCGGACGCCGACCGCTCCCAGCTGTACCAGGCGACTATACGTGAGGGGGATCTGTTACTTAACCGCGTCAAGAAACTCGCCAGTGTTATTAACTTCTAAACACTCATGTTACCTTGGTACCTCGGTTTCATTGACTTCTAAATATTTATGATGCCCTGGTACTTTGGTTTCATTGACTTCTAAACATTTATGATGCCCTCGGTTTCGTATCTATAGATAAATAGCGTATTTGATGTTTTTGTCGTCACTAATTTTAAAAGTAATTTCTTAAATCGCTACATTATTTAGTATTTACAAAGTAATGCAGTATGTATTAGATTATTATTTCGTAAATAAATAAATATGTCATAAAAGAAATTGTTTATTTTATTTGACTATTAGTTCAATCAATTTCTTTTTTTATATTTTATTCTAGTATAATTAGCACAGGCATAAACTCTTCTTAATCTGTACAGAAGGCGATCGCCTTTGACCGGTTTTGATGTAAAATGTCAATGGATTGTCAAAAATACCAATTTTCGTGGCGTACGGTTTCGAAGTTAAAGCACAATAGTGCCATCTTGTGGCAAATTACAGTTACAACCGTCAACCCTCACTCTGTTTCATAACTTTTATGTCACTGTCTGTTTCTACTTACATTCCGAAGTCAAAAAAATATTAATTTTAATTATTATTTTGTGTATAATCAATATGATACTAAAGTTGACAAGTTCTAAATTTTTTTTAAATAATTACCAGAAGATTATTATCGAGAGAATAAAAAAATCTGTACATCTGGCACTGGTTATGTTCCGATTATTATCGAGCTAAAAATATATTTTTTTTTTATTAACAGCTTCTTCAAAAATTTAATTAATATTGAAAATAATAAGATTTTTTTTAATTTCAAGTGCTTACAAATTTTAAAATAATATTATATGTACTTTAGCTTTTATTTTTTTATTTTTGATTCTGTCACAGTTTAAAATACTTTAAAAAAAGCCTTAAATATAACCAGATTTATACTATTTGCAATATCATACAGTTAATTTTTAAAAATAATTACTAATACAATAATCGTCACACTGTAAACATTAGAAACACTGTTTTGAGCGACAGCCAATAATTCCAATAATTTTTGGCCTTTTTTATCGTTTGGACCTCATTTCTCTTTGACCTTGGTCATTTTTTATCGGTAATTTTTTTATTATTTTTTGGACTATTTAGGCTCACCTAATATTATTTATTATACTGCCTACATCACTATGTTTTTCTTATTTAACACCAGGGCGCTCTACTTTCGATAGAAGTGCTGCCCTCTAGTTCGTGCACACTCCATAAAGAAAGATGTGGATGAGAGTCGGCTGTCAGGAGCGCCTCACTGTCTAGACGCCTTCGTTAGACTGGACTAATAGCTGCTATTTAGTATTCACTTTACTTCCTGCGGTCCCACATGTGTCGATCTACTTATTCCATAAACCACTAATCATCATTGATTTATTCGGCCAGTAGGAGAACAGAGCTCACGCTATGTCTCTTAAGCCTATTTAGTCTATAAATATTGCTGTTTTAATTGACATAAAAAATAAAAGATCATTCCATTATTACAGTTTTTATAGTCCAGTTGTTTTTTTTCTATTATGTTTAAAAATAATTTTAGTAATTTGTAATTAGTATATTTCATAGAAACTAGTAAAGAGCTGCTTTTTAGATAATTAGAATTAAGTAAAAATTAAAAAGGATGGGGATAAAGGATAACAAAAAAGAAAAGTACTATTAGTATAATTGTTTTTTAAATAATTTGAATACTTTTTGGACATTTACATAAACATTTAATAATTTACAATGATTATTTATACTGACATGGACATGACACATCATATTCATGGCTAATGCTACTCTAGAGCTATCTGCAACTTGAAAATAATAAATTGTAGGTGCTATGAGAATTTATCTAAACAACTAAACTTTTCGAGGGCCTATCGCCCCAAGCGTCACTTTAATACTAAGAGTGTATGCATGATTTGTAATTTTATAAATAATTTAGAGGGATATTTTATACACATCTAAGTGCTGAAGTACAAAACACTTAGTCCGTTATAAGTAACAAAATCGTGTAATATTTTGATCTATCAACGTTCATTACTTAAAGTCGTCGAAAAATGCATATTTGGAAAGAAATGTTTCGTTAGAAACAGTTTTATGGCTCAGTCTGTTTCGTAGTACTGACAAATCTAAGTGTCGGCGTTACACTAACGCCAACCGCTCACACTTTACAGAGATATGTCGAAGTATTCTAAAGCAATATAATAGCTATGACTCTAAACACTTACATCTATGTAGACCTCAAATGCAAATACTTTTTTTTAATTTACATGATATGAATATGTCATTAAACTCTATTACAATAAATATAGCGTATAGAGTACCTAGAGTGGAAATCGGTCGACGGTGTCATAAATTATTCTTACATCTTACATTTAATTCGTTTTTACTTTAGGAAATTTCTTTATATAAGGAGACTCGTCAATAATAATTTGTATGCATTACATAGGTACGATAATCGATATCAAATGACGTGTCAACCTACGAATAATCGATAAAACTGAAATTCACATAAGAATCTCCTCATGTTGGAATGTGACTTAAGAAAATCATGCATATCGCACTCCAGTTACAAATAATATAAATATAATATAATTAATTTAAGTTCTATATCGTAATTTTAACTATTCGTTCATTACAGTACTATCATACAATTTTATATACAATTAAAGATATAGATTTATGAATTTAATTAATTTTTGGGATAATTTATAATAATTTTAGATGTCATAGCACATCAGGCTGCGATCTCGATTGATGAGTGAATCTGCTGTGACTGATACGAATGATGCTTCCGTTGATCGGAGCGCAGCCCTCAAACGTGCACTATCACAGAGTAATGACATAAACTCGGGGCTCTAACGAGCCCCACATTGCCCCAGGCCCGTACTCGTGCATATAAGTTACCTATGTAATACTATGCGTAATAATAAATCGGTACACATCTCTACACTCAACACGAAATATTACGTTTTGGAGCAAAACAACACCCCTTCCGTAATAAATTGTCTATCGTATTCGCGTGTCACATAATGTTCGTAAGGGACCGCAACTCGCACTCGCGCCGGGCGGGCCGTTGAGTTTTGATCGAAGTTTATTGGAATGTGAATGTTCTAATTCGTATTTCGAATGAGTTTCCGACCAGTTTAGACTGTAAGGCCTTCGGTGCGCGCGGGGGGTGGTAACGAGGCGAGCGGGTGCGGGTGGGGAAGCTGCGCAGGCGGCGAAGATTGTGCTGCGTTTGGTGCATGCCCAGGGTGTCCACTAACTCTATAGTGCTCTCTTTCACTCTCTTCGCGCATCTGTCGACTTCGTTCGGCCAACTCTCGACCCCTTTCTGCCAGTTCTCGCATCGCAGCTTGCCTTTCGTCTCCACCCTCTAACGACGGCGGCCTTTCCAATGGAGACGCCGCTCCTGGTCTACCAGCTCCGAATGGCCCGAAGCCCAGTAGACCAGGGAATTTACCAGCCACTCCGTTCTGCCCGGCGTTTTGCTGTATCACTGATATCTCGTTCAGCTGTTAACAAATATATTTTTTTAATATTTGTAATTGATACATCCAATATGCTTGTTAAGTTTTTAATATCAGAAATAGTTTTTTATATAATTAACAATATGATGACGCATTTTCGTAGGTATCTATATTCTATATACATATATAATGAGGCGTTTATCTATTAGGTACCTACCTATATTCAACTAAATCTTTCCGCGAGTAAAGTTCTTGCTTAAATGAGTTTAGTCGTTACGAAGCCAAGATTTATAAATCCAGGATACATATAAACAGTTGTTTATGGTTTAGTATCGAGTAAAATACCATGTGATTTTAAATATACGGAAATCACGACCGGACATCAGAATTAAATTTATAAGTATCAATATAGACTATTCTTCTTTATGATTAAAATAACATTTACTTAAATTGTCAGATTTAATTTCTACGAAAATATGGTATAATATAATAATGTTATTAGATTCCTAGCGACTCACCCTCGCTCCGCTCGGGTTCGTCCCTAAGTGATAATTGACATCACTTTTATATTTATAAACCGATTTAAATAAAACAAATACCTACTAAAAATTAAGTGAAGCTTACCACAATATATTTGTGAAAATCGCGTCCAAATCGGTTAAGCCGTTTCTGCGATTAGCGCTCACAAACGCACAGATAAACAGACAAATCGACAAACAGACAAATATTCTAAAAGTCATTGTTTTGGGTTCTATTGCGTAAATAAAGACCCCCCAATGATAGTTTTTCTCAAATATCTTCCATGTACAGACAGCGATCAGTTACTATTTTATTATATGTATAGATTTTTTTAATTTTGATTCTTTTACACCATAAACTTTTAAAGTAGAAAAAGTATTCATACCTTTTGTTGCATGCCGTTGAGGAAAGGTGCGGGTAAGTAGGGATAGAACAAGTCTGGGCGGCGCAGTAAGTCGTGGGGCTCGTGTAGAGGTCGCGGCGGTAACTCTAGCGACATGCGTCGTCCGCGTCGCGAGGCACCTCCACTCCACATGTGTGTGCCCATATGGACCTGTTCATAAATATATGGAATAAGTATTGTTTCTACTAGAATATTATATTTATTCTTATTTGTATATCTTATCTTGTATTAAGATATCGATCGTTAGGATAGAATTTAAGTAAATTATACCTAAAATGATTTATTTAATTCATCATATTATAAAACTTATATTTATAACCATTTACAACATATCTGGGTTATAAATTATATCATTTGTAGCATAGGGTACCAGATGAGTCGATATATGTCTAGGCTGTCTATTCGTCCTAACTTTAAAGTGCTTTACGTTTTGAACAATTTTTTTGTTTTGTATGTTTTAACGTTTAGTAGGTATAGATTTATCAGACACGAGATATTTTCCCGCAGCACAATGTATCCTATATGTTGACCATGACAACCAGATATAATCATACCAAATTTCATCAAAATCTGTCCAGTGGTTTTCTCGTGCTGCGTTCCCAGACAAACAGACAGACAAAAATTCTAAAAACTATACATTCGGCCTCTGTATCGATAATAATGCTTATTTCAACAAGATTTTCCAAAAAATATTTAATGTACAGATTCGACTCAGAATTTTATTATACTTTGTAATCATGAACGAATGTGGTTAATTCGTTCATGTTTGTAATATAGCTGTAGTAAGAAAGTCATGTTAGATGTGCAGATATGAAAGATATTATTAATTGTTAAATATTTTATTGACAATGTAAAACTAAAAATATAAGTGTAAAAGCAAAGAGTGTCTGGTAAATACCTTAAGGTTTCCTTTGGTGGTAAACGCCTTTTGACAGACTGCGCACCGGAAGGGTTTGTCGCCAGTATGTGTGCGCATATGAATTTGTAGCGCTGATGACGACGAGAAGTTTTTGCGGCACACGCCACAGAGGTGCTTCGACGACTGCGCTGGGGGCTGGGGATGGCTTGGGGCAGCGGGGACTATAATAGAAACATAAATATATAATGTTGGCTTTTCAATCTAACTATATAGTAGTTATATAATAGGTTGCTTCCTCATACAAATTTTCACCCCCATTTTCACGAGGTTAAGGGATGATTCCCGGGATAAAAACTTCCCAGGATCTCAAACTATCTATTACTAAATTTCATCTAAATCGGTTCGGTAGTTTCAGAGCCTATTCGATAAAAACAAACAAAGAAACAAACAAACAAAATCATTTTTTCCTCCTTTAGATTAATGCGTAAGTTTGTGTGTTTGTAAGGTTTAACACATAAGCCACAAAGCATGTTAGGCATCTAGAGACACGTCCGAATGAACCGAAAATAGCTAGTATATTTACACTTATAATTAATCCTTATAAATCTTTTAGTTTTCATCGTTACTAACAATATTCTTATGTTATAACAGTGCCGATATATCGGGAATTCTTAAAGTAAGTGAAATTCATGGTAAATATCCCGTTTTATATTATAAGAATAAGAATATTTAATGCTTACTAATATTGTAATTGCGCAGTGTGATTGTTGGTTACCTTGTTACGTCGTAATGACTTGAAATTTTGGTAGAAAATCTATGTAAGTAGATGACGATACAATAAATTGATAACATGTTTATCTGAAAGTAGCGTCCTAAGGAATATCCTATTTCATAGTTAGTTTGTGAATCAGAAACGGACTCGGGTCTTTTCCTTGCACAACAAGATGTATCGTTCATGACGTGTAATGGAATATTTTCTTGTAAAAGATATTTAGGGCTGAAATTACTCAAGCGAGTGTGGTTCATTAGTAATTTTAAGATATTTTTATAAATTACAATATTCTATAGAACTGTTTTCGATATTAATAAATCATTAAATTCACTGCTTAACGTTTTAAATTAATTAAATACATATTACAGGTACCTATATATTAAAGATATAAGGTTGAATAATGATCTAAGGATGGAGAAATTCCTAAGATGATCCGAAAATAAAGAAATATACCTATATATAAAAAATTATTACCGGTAGGCCTTTTCGGTAGAGGCGGCATATCTATCGGTGGAGGGTGTGACATGGGGTTTGGTGGCAGTACTGGTGGAGATCTTTTTAAGTCAATTTTGTCAGGTGAAGAACGTCTGTCCGGGCTCGGCTCACGACCTTCCTCACTCGGAGGTCCAGTTGGCCCACTTGACCCCTTGTCGAAGCCAGGGGGCATGTCGCGAATCTTATGCGTTAGCATATGTTGCTTCATGTTACCCTGTGGACGAAAAATAATTGTTAATAAAAGAATTCAACGCACTTAAACACAAAAATAATAAATTATTGGACTTTTTGTGAGGCTTATATATGCAAATAACTACAATTATAATAGAACTTGTAATTTAAATGACTTAGAGTACATATATGCATAATAAGAGGTAACAGAAAATTTTACTAGAAAATTACCTACGTACTTTATATTATTATGAAATGAAATGAGCATAACGTAATAAATAGTTATTGGTATAAGTAGATACATATTATGTATATAAGTATTATTATCTACGTATGTATGATAGCCTATTAATGCTTAACTTTGCGTTAAGGCTTATTATTATAATTGCCTTGGGCTTATACTACCATTTCATAATGAGATTACTTTTGCGCTTGATTATATGATATACAATATTTATTGCATTGAGTGCATAGGCATGCACTCAGGCATATTAATTTTGCTCATCTTTATTGTTTCATATCTTGTAAAAGGGAGTTCTAAGATTAAATTAATTAGATTTAAGGACACTATGCAACATTTTGTTTCGAATACACTCATTAAGTTTTAATTTTAGGGGAAACACAAAATCAGGGATATATGTATAAGAGGTCGAAACAAAAGGTTATAGAGGGTCAGTAAAATAAGAGTTCACGCTCAGGCGTCATCTCGCATACCGGGTAGACGAAGGCGTTCCAGAGATCCAAAGCAGTGGCGTGCGGCGGGCGGGGTGCGCGCGCGCGCCTACCGCACCGGCAACCGCCGCCACTGCTCTGGAACCACAAATACACGCACATTTACGCACACCCTTACACAGGACAAAAATATACATTCAAATAAACATGCTCAAAATAATATAAATCATGGTAAAAAAGGAATAAATTACATTACTTTTGCTAATTAATTTGTTGTAATATCAGTCTAATAAAAGAGGTAAGTAAAAGATAGGATAATTGAGAATTAACATTTACAACGAATTTTAATTTTACAAGGGTACTACTATTTACCGATATACAATTAGAAGGTAAGGATTACTTAAAAAGTAAATACGTTAAGGTTTTGGAAGGACTAAGGAGACTATATCAAATCTTTTACATTATATAAAGTAGGTACTTTGTTTTACTTGACGTTAAATTATAAAAGCCTTAAAGCTATTTATACTAACCAGTATATTTTACTATAAAAAGCTGAACGTTTTGTCTATTTAAAGCGTTAATATCTGAATCTAGAAGACGGATTTGTCTTGATTTGGAAGATATAGGTATACCATCTAATATCTAACATCACTCTACAACCCTTAGCACAGAAGAAATAGTCTATACTTAAATAATAAAATTGTAACGGAGCCAAATCTGTACATTTAATATTTTTTGGAAAATCTTATTGAAATAGTCATTATTATACAGAGACCGAATCTATAGTTTTTAGAATTTTTGACTGTCTATTTGTCTGTCTGTTGAAAACGCATTACGAGAAAACCACTAGACGGATTTTGGTCACTGATGTCGGCATGTGTTTTAAAAATACTTACATAATGTTAATTCAAAAAAAATTATGTACAGATTTCAGATATATTCGTTCTATAATTATATTAGAATTATTCGCATTATCCGCGGCTATCCGTGTTTTTCAAATGAAAATATTTAAAATTTTTGCTATTATTTATTAAACAATGATAATATTTGTAAATTTCTAAAAATCGGCTAAATGCCAGTCCAACTCGCACATCAACGGTTCCGTTTAGCCAAATACTGTTTTGTTTTTACTTAGGTAGGTAGGTGGGTAACGTATGTTATAGTAGGGGAGCCCAAGAGGGGATTTTCTGTAGTTACTCGAGCGCGGCAGATTAACATAAAAGAGGTTACCTTGCACTCTATTGAGTACTTTCACCACAATATAAGTCTTCTATATAAAGGGGCGCGTCTAGGGAAGCCGATTAAAATATTTATAAAATGTTTTGATAAGGTAGAAATACTTGAAACCGTCAGATTAAGGTGTGGTAGGCTAGTCACATCCTGAAAAGTGTCCAATTCAATAATCTGCCGATTTGCACAAGCCTAAGAGGCAAAAATCATCATAAACTTTATAGTCGATGATTTTTGCCTCTTCGGCTTGTGCAAATCGGCAGATTATTGAATTGGACACTTTTCAGGATGTGACTAGCCTACCACACCTTAATCTGACGGTTTCAAGTATTTCTACCTTATCAAAACATTTTATAAATATTTTAATCGGCTTCCCTAGACGCGCCCCTTTATATAGAAGACTTATATTGTGGTGAAAGTACTCAATAGAGTGCAAGGTAACCTCTTTTATGTTAATCTGCCGCGCTCGAGTAACTACAGAAAATCCCCTCTTGGGCTCCCCTACTATTATGTTGACACTCAAATAAAATCGAATATTTACGTCTTCACAACATCGACATTAAATCGATCAAAAAATAAGTGTGTTTTATAAATTTATAAAACTATCTTTTCGGATTTTTTCGCGGATTTATTTGGATTTTCGGTTCCCGACGTTTCAAATGCTTTACAGCGGTCACGGGAGAGACTGAGGTGTTAGATGTCTCGAAGGTATAGTTGTTACAGACAGCCTACCCACAAATAACAAAATGAAAATTGCACCAATTACCTTACAATATTTTTTAACTTTAAACATTTTTATAATTTTAATTAGTTTTATAATTGAATATGGAATATTATTTATTAAAATTTTTGTTGTTATTATTATAATTATTACAATTTTAAAAATATTAATTAGTAATCTATATTTGGTGTTGCCATTATTATATTTATAACCATAAACCATAGAGAAAAAATATAAAATATAATATTAATTATTTAAGCCACATAATTGTTCTATGTGTAATTTAAAAAGTTAAAATTACTAAGCAACACTATTACTAAATATAATAAGAAATTATTAAATTAGTGTGTGTTTCATATACCTATTATATTTTTTACTTATTATGTAAAATAAAGTTTGCGTTTGCTAAACTGATAAAGCGTGCATATATTCTGGAAAGCAATTTTCGTTTAATGATTTTGGATTAATTTTTTCGCAATTATTTAGATTATTTTGACACCAGTTCTTGAAAGGTAAAGAAGTCATGCTTGTTTTTTAAATACTAGAAGGTTTACGACTTTCGTTATGTAGCTTGGCTATTACCATAGTCCATATTAGCCAAGCTATATGTAATGATAAAAAATACTTAGAAACATTTACCTTATGTATCTACTCCTGAAACTATCACTTGCCCAATTTTTATTTTTATTTCAAGATGAGAACAAAAATTTACAAAGATTTTTAAATTGAAAATCGTTTCGGGCAGTAGTAATAAGAAATAAAAAAACATTTCTCTGTATAATAAAAGTATATAGGCAAAATAAATATTTTTCTAAGCCAATATTGTAATATAATTAAATGAAATATGAGATTAACAGATGAACCTTAGTGGCAAGGCAATGCCACTCACCGCAATTTTTTTATTTAATCTTGAGGTGTAAAATGATTCTGGCTGGTATATATAAATAAGTAAAATCAAATAAAAAAAAATAAAAAAAAGAAGGAATGCTTGTGACATTGCCAATCACCGCCATTTTTTCTCGATCCGCGGCGGAACCGCGGGCAATGCTAGTACATTATAAGAGTCGTCGTATAGTCGCGGGTGTATAAAGCGAAATGAACTATTGGCGAAAAAAAAAATAAAAGAATATATTACAATATTATAATTCAATACCTAGTATCTATAGATACCTAACATTGGGATATCTTTTAGCTTAGACTTAGAGGCTCGCGTGAACTTTCTGAGCGGGTGCCGACGCCGGCAACTCATTGTAATTTTAAATGTTCTTGTAAGGCTCTATTTGATAAGACCACGATTGTTTCTGATACGGGCTACAAATAATTTGTGAAACATTTGTAGGTGGTTAACATTCACTTTTATATTTACAGTTTTTAGACCAGTTACTTAACATTTTACACTTAATGTAAGATGGGATCAGTTATAAGATATAATATTATTACCTGTTATTTTATTCATTAAGTTAGTTATCTTTTATTTTTATTTGTCATAAATTATTTAAATATAGATAGTACATATTATCTGATACCTGACACCAATAAAAAATAGTTAATTGTTAGCAGGAAGAAAAGGGATAATATAAAATGAGCAAGCATATATATACAAGAATATTAGAACCCGCGGCTTCGCTCGCGCTAAAACTACAGAAAAATTCTAAAAAATAGGTTTCATACAAACTTTCACCCACTACACACTAACACGTATTTATTTAATTGTATTGAAGAGCATTTATACCAATTTTCAAGGATTTCTGATCATAAATAATTTTTGGGTTGTATTTTAACGTGTTTTCGCGTGGGAATGACATTATCTCCCACGGTAAAAAGTAACCAATCTCCAACTATCTCCACACGAAAATCACGTCAATCCGTCACTCCGTTTCGACGTGAAAGAAAGACAGACAAACAAACAAACACAATTACACATTTATACCTAATATTAGTATGGATTATAATAAAAATTTATTTCGTGTATTTCGGAAAAGGCTCAAAAGATTTGGATCAAATTTTGTATTTAGATAAGATTTTTAAGTTTATCTATATCGATGTATTTTCTGAAAAAACGTATTTTTATATCGAATCGAAAAACGCCGAGCGAAGCTCGATCACAGAGGTATGTACTTATCATAAAGAGTACAATTCAGACACTTTAAAATATTATGAAATAGAATGGTAGAATACATAGAGTGGGTACATTTGAAAATGTTGTAAATAAAGTCTTAATATCGTATTGAATGTAATAGGTATCTGTTGAGATTGTCGTTAATGATAAAGTGGTTATGCCACTGGCTTCTTGTACAGTAGAAACTTAATTTGATAATTTGTTTCCGAAATAAAAATTGATAAAAACTACACATTAGACATATTGTGAGTAAAATTATTAGAAGTGTAGGAAAATTATTGGAATATTAAAATTGCATATAGAAATGTGTACAATGTAATTTTATTGTCTAATTATGTTTATAGTAGAATATATTGATAAATATTGTAAGATAATTGGTGCAATTTTCATTTTGTTATTTGTGGGTAGGCTGCCTGTAACAACTATACCTTCGAGACATCTAACACCTCAGTCTCTCCCGTGGCCATGATTGCTGTAAAGCATTAGAAACGTCGGGAACCGAAAATTCAAATAAATCCGCGAAAAAATCCGAAAAAATAGTTTTATTTAAAATGTCAAATATTCGCGTAAATCTAAGAAAGTAAAGTATTTAATTACTACACGAGTATCTATTTACCCTTACAAAATGGGTTACTTTTAGTGACGTATCATGCAAGCATGACTTATAACTGAAACTATATGCCTATATCGTATCAGAACTCTGTTAAAAATATTATTTAAAGCATTTTAGCATTGAAAACACTTATGCTGCACTTATTACAAAAATTTAAAAACGTTCGTCATAAATTTTGAAAATAATAATATTTTGCCATGCCTTCGAATTTTTTATGAGACAAGATCCGCCATCATTTTTGTTTTGATTAATGAAATTATTGGTTACATTATTACAATAGACATCGATCCATAATAGTAGTAAGTACTAGGTAAGCGTGCTTGGTTTCAATTTTATTGTTGTTTAATTGAAAATGATACTTATAAATTAAATTACGTTACGGAGGAGCAAAAAACGGATGAGTAGGTAAGTACTTTGTATTGAATATAGATTGATTTTATAAAGTTGGAACGTGTCTCAAAATTAATCATAGCTAACAGAATTATGTTAGTATATTCGGTCGGTGTGTAGCGTTTTGAATTAAGGTGTCATTATTTTTATAGCGCTAAAATAGCTACCATTTTATAACCAGTTTCTAATACATAATTTGTAAAAGATTTAGAATATTATTTGATTGGAAAGTGAGAATTTCGTCAAAAAATGCTTTTGATAATAATGAATTTAAAAAGTAAATAAATTATCATTTTAGCCGTTAATTCAATTGTTATATATACTGTCTGTGAAAATCGCACATCAAAAGATTTCTGGTAACATAAATTGCTACTAGTTATGATAATCTTCAGCATAGTTCAAAGATAGCTTGAAGGCAAGTGTTGTAAAATGACAACGTCAAAGATAATTTAACTTGGTCAGAAAAAAATATTTCTACTAAGAACTGAATTGCTGTCAAAGCAGTGTGTAATTGACTATTTAAATATTGCCGCGGCGCCGTCATAAATAATCTATATTTTATTGATAAAAACACTGCACGGTCACTTTCAGAAACTTACGAAAAATGTTATTTTGTCAAGCATAAATAATCTTTTTATGACGAGAAGCGTAGGTAAAGGCTCAAGGATTTATAAGTAATAAATATTTTACGACATGAATTAATATTCCGATCGTTTTCCGTGACGTCGTTTTTATGAGTTATCATTTTTGTGGCGACGATGGACCGCGACACAAACATAGCTCTACATGCTTGAAATATTGGCCAAACTGATTATAAAACTTGAATTGCCATAAAGATAAGAAATATTCATTTAAAAACCTTTATGTATTGTATAAAACATTGAATTTATTATTTTAAGTAGTTTTCAAGTAGCTTTATTATTTAAAGTTTGATCATAAGTAGACAGGACCATGATTGTTCGCGTTTCTTTTATAATACCGCCCGTTGCGTTTGTCTGATTTGAAAAGATTTAGAGGTTCAGCTGTCACGTGTGGACATATTCGTTGCAACGATATAATATATGCGAAATTAAATTTGTTAAGACGTATTAATTATATTTCTAATATTTTTTACAGCTCACAATGTTATAAGCTGGGCCGGTGAAAATAGTGAAGTGAAAATAATATTTAAACCTTTAAAACATCGACAATCGTTTCAAGTATGTACATTTTGAATTTCTTTAAGTGTCAAATGTAGGTATAAACTGCGGCGGTAAATCAGCGAAAGTCACACTATGTGTGCATTGAGTAGTTTGTAACTTAAGACTTAAATAGACATTAAAGAAAGTCGTTTAAAGGACTAATCCACCATATATGGTCAATACGAGGAATATTTATACAGGAGGGACAGAGACAACGACAAGCGAGACAGCTACATAAATACTCATATAAAAAGTTTTCAAACCTATACTTGTATTGATTTTCTAAGAATCAAGAATTTATAATATGGAATAGGTACACTATCTTACTTGCTAGTATTTAAATTACACATATCAATATTCAATTATTCTTTTAGCAGTAAAGAAATGAAAATTGAACCTATCAATAAGTACCTAGTAACTTTATAACCACATCGTATAAAACTATTTTTTCGGATATTTTCGCGGATTTATTTAATATTATTTCAAAAGTCAAATATTCGCGTTAATCTAAAAAGGTATTACTACTTTAGATTTTTTAGAAACTTATTTTTGAGATGCTGAAGTGCTTGATTATTAGAAATGCTTATTTGTAGTAGACCTGGTAATGCTTTAGTTATATACATATACGATAAAAGCAAACTTTTATATGTATATACAATTATATAATAAAAAGTTAAATTAAAAATAATATTCATATCCTATAGAATACGAGTGAGTTTTTTTATGGGTACCTATTACGTGAATTAATTACAGCAGTTTCAAAGTAACGTAATTTTGTTTTATTTGATTAAGGTCTTACTAAAACGTCTCATCCGATTAAAGAACGTATGGCAAAAACGTTTTAAAATTTTGATCAATAGTTAGGTGACAAATTGACTTAGGGTTCGAATGTAGAGACAGACATCGGCTAAAACTAATGTGAACTAGAGGCGTCGACGAGGGACTTGTAATTACTGCCTGCAAAATTAATGCACAGAAACTTAGATGAAATGAAACCAGAGTATAAAGTACCTTGCAGCGCGCGAGCAACTTGCTTTTCGATGTCTGGAGTAAACTTGCGAGTACCGTGTTAAACTTGAGTAGTTAGCTAAGTGTTTTAACGAAATTGCTTAATATCTTCAACAAGTAATGTAATTTTATGGGCTATCATAATATTTTTAAATAGATACGTGTTATATAGTGAAAATGAGAGGAAACATTGTAAAAGCACAGATATGTCGCTATTTGTGTAACAATAAAATATACACTGGCTCTGAGCCAGAAACATTCGATCGAAGCTCATACTTCGTTCGAATCATGACTGGTACACAATCATCATTTTACTTGCAACTAACTATATATGTCTTTGGCTATGTAAATCAATTGTATTATAAAATATTTCAAACCTTCGTAGAGAAGCCTCTATCACAGACGGTGCACTTGAAAGGGCGTTCCTTGGTGTGACTGCGGTAATGAATTTCCAAAGCAGAGTTGCAGGCGAACGTCTTGTAGCAGATGGTACACGTTGTGTTGCCGCGCACTGTACACAAATAAATCGAATGTTCATTGCCACTATTAAAGTCCAAATATACGTTTGTATCTTCAATGTTTAGGTAAATTCCAGGGAATAGTTATTTTAATGTATAATTTAGCGCCCGGTATGTGGGATATTATTAGATTTAGCAGTATTAGGATAATACGAAGGAACGGAAATATGGACGACCGGGGCGGACGTATATATAAGGTCCCGCTATCGCATACCTGCGGGAGGGAAAGCGAGTCCGAGCGGGCTGAAGGGTGATCCACCGAGAGCACCGAGCGCGGCCAGGGGCGTGGGCGGCGAAGGCAGCGGCGAGTGTTGTGGCAGCCGCGGCGGCGTGGACAGCACCGACGGCGACGGCGACGGCGGCGAGGCCCGCGCGCTGCGCCCGCTCTCCGAACCTGTCGCCGATGGGAGGGAAGCCGTTGTGGTGATGGTTTTTACTTCGCATTCGGACGCCGAGGCGCAGACGGAGAGCGGCGAAGTTCGACGATCTTTTATATCTGGGTCGTCGTCGAACTCCCGTGAAGCGGGCTCGCTCTCGTCCCGGCCGCTCTCATCGTCGGTCTCGCGGGAGTCCGCCCTTCGGTCGCCGGGAGTGGAAGGGGTTGGAAATATTGAAGGTGGAATGGAGTGGTACGGATTAAAGTCGGACATTTCTGACCCACTATTGAGCTGAAAGTTGCTCATTTCACTATCTTGGATTTGTTCAAAAGGGTTGTTACATCTTTCGCCTGTATGGAGGCGAATATGTTGATGTAGCATAGTAGGATCTGCAAATTTTTTATGGCATACAGGACATTGATGTAACAATTGTGAGGGCGGTTTAATACGATGGACGCCCATATGTGTTTTAAGATTGCCTTTGGTCGTAAAGGCACGACCACATAATTTACATCGAAAAGGTCGTTCGCCAGTATGGGTACGGTAGTGCATTAGCAAAGCACTTTTACATGATAAGACACGATGGCATACGATGCACTCGTTTGGATCTGTTACTTTATTATCTATATTGTCGACTAATTGTTGTAATTTTGAAGTTTCTGAAGTTTTTGTAATTTCAATGAGACTTTCCCAGGAATTATCATTACTTCCTGGGCGTGGTAAAAGTGAATTATAAAATAATGGGTCGCGAGTTATATCAGAGTCTATTGTACTATTAGGATTACTTTGGAAAGGTGTAAGGCATCCGGAAGAAACACTACTTGGCGGGGAATGAGGAAATAACGGATATGAAGGAAAAGTACGAAGTCCCGTTGCTATTGAAATTGGTCCAGATATCGATGAATTCTTACTTGATAAATTTTCCGGTTGATCTGGATCGGGCTTCACGTGTGGACTTTCTCTGCCGATTTGATCTTCATTGCTGTATTTCGAGTCCATGCTGCAGTCATCATATGGTGATGTTGATGGATATCTGTCTTGTTCTGCATTTTGCTCTGCGTCATTTTCTTCAGGCTCTCGTTTTGGCGATATATGATCAGTCTCTTCAAAACTAGAGTCACGTTGACTTTCTTCATCTTGCGGTTCAGATTTAAACATGTCAGATGCTGGTCGAGTAGGGCTTGGTACGGAGGGTTTACTGAGATCAGCTGGTACATCTTGTTCTTCTCGCATGCCAAAAAGCGGGTGGTGTGGAAGTGGTTTATCGCTTAGTGGGCGGGGTGGCAATAAATCATGATGTGGCGGCCTGTATAGTGGCAAGCTTGGTGGAAAAGGCGCTGGCGCACCCGGAGGGAACTGAAGTGGGTGGGGTGGCATTCCAGGAATTGGCCCTGGTGAAAGTTGTGCTAATAATGGTGGGTGATACTTGTCCAAATGTTCTGGTACAGGATTTGGGTTCATTTTTACATGAGGAAACTTTGCAGTATGTCTTTGGAAGTGGACTTTGAGATTTCCTTTCGTTGTAAATCGGGATCCACAAACGTTACATTTGAAAGGCCGTTCACCTGTATGAGAACGAATATGAATTTGAAGCGCTGAATCACTTCCAAAAACTTTTCCACAGTATCTGCATCGATGCTTAAAGAAAGGTTCATTGCGTCCACCGCTTTTTCCATCATATGGTGACATTTTTCCAGACTTCCGGAAGGCTAGTTCATCGGCAAGGTTATTTGCAAGAAGACCTTGTGACGCGTTGTCCAGTACTTCTTGAGCCCGTTTTTGAAGCATTTCTAATGTATTTGGTTCATTAAGGGATGGTGGAGGGTCATTATTCGTAATGATTGAAGATGCTAATGAGGAAGATATAGAGCTATATGGCGGGTGGGTCATCATAGGTGGCGATGAAGTTGGAAGCTTTGGAATAGAAATAGGCTCAGTTTTAGGTGTAAGATGTGTATGGGTTGATGGCAAGCTTTGGCTAGTTGGAGGAGCGGAGTCAGCAGGAGAAGGCTCCCGTGGCGGACGAGGTGGTGACGGCGATCGAACTGGCGTCGTAGGCGCATTTTGCTCTGGTTCACTTGGTGGCGGACTTGGGTGCTGGTCCTCTTTCCGTCTTGTTAATGATAACTGATTTTGTAATTGGCGTATTAATTGCAGTTGAAACACTTGCTGATGTTGTAGAGTAAATAAAGTACTTTGTAAAACTGCTAGTTCATGTAATGCGGCTTCATTGTTGGCATTATTAGCCATTGCAGTGGCAGCGAATTGTGCTACAGCGACTTTGGTGTTTTGTAGAGCTTCAAGAGTCACATGACCTGCCACAGGAAATGGAAGACCCACTGGGGGCACATCGGCTTCAGGTACTTCTGCCTCACCATCATCGAGGCTATTATTATTTTCAGCATCTTGTCGATGCCTCCTTACTTGTTCTAATCGCTTATTTGGCCCGTCCATTTCCTCATCCCCGGATACTACCATATCCTCGGGATCGGAGTGCATCCTTTCCTCACCCATTTGCATTGCCTTTTCATCACACAGTCTCTTATGGTAAATGAAGTCATGAAGATGTTCAAATTGTTCTTGGCAACGGGGACACATGTGTGTCTCGGGCCGTTCTCTGGTTTCATGGTTAATATCTTCCTCTGAACAGGACCCGGAGCTATCACCTAGAACAAAAATAAAAGTGTTATTAATAAGCTTAAGATTGTTAACATGAGACTATTCGTTTTATAGCCAAATATATAATAATTTAATTTAAAAGAACGGTAAATGTGCAATTATTTTACGAATTATCTAAAAAACATATTTTTTAAAATATTTAATAAACATCATCTCATTTTATATATACCTACGTAAAACATTTATTGCAAGTAGTCGTAATATTTTTACGATTTATGATATTTTAATTAACGAATTCAAGTTGTTATCATAATATAATGTAGAATTAAAACTGCTTAGGATTTATCTAAATGTTATGAAATTAAACCAGTTTAAATTCACTACCTTTAAGTATTTTTTTATGTCTGCAAATAATTTGTATGTCTGCGGAAGAATATCTTCAAGCGTCCATTTTATTATTTTATTATTTATTTTATAAGAGAATGATAATAAAATATTGTAAGCATACCAATACAAATTCAAATAACTATTTTAATTGAGAAAAAGTATCTAGTAAACTAATAAGAAAATGATATTATGGTATAATTTACTCCTATATATATTCTATATTTATTATTTTATTTTATATTCTATATTTCTATATTTATTCTTATAGTAAATTTACTCCTATATATTTGTTTTCTTTTTAAATAAAACTATCTTTTCGGATTTTTTCGCGGATTTATTTGGATTTTTGGGTCTCGACGTTTCAAATGCTTTACAGCAATCATGGCCACGGGAGAGACTGAGGTGTTAGACGTCTCGAAGGTATAGTTCTTACAGACAGCCTACCCACAAATAACAAAATGAAAATTGCACCAATTATAGCACCAGCTATTATTTAAAAAAAAATTAAAACAACTAACATAATAAAAAACAAAATTTATAAAAACAAAATTAAAATTATTATCCTTAAATAATTTTAACTTTTTTAAATTACACATAGAACAATTATATGACTTAAATAAATAATATTATATTTTATATTTTTTCTTTGTGGTTATAAATATAATAATGGCAACACTAAATATAGATTACTAATTAATATTTTTAAAATTGTATCAATTATAATAATAACAGCAAAATTAAATAAATAATATTCCATTCAATTTTAAATAAATAAACTTAATAATTCAATTATAAAACTAATTAAAATTATAAAAATGTTTAAAGTTAAAAAATATTGTAAAGGTAATCGGTGCAATTTTCATTTTGTTATTTGTGGGTAGGCTGTCTGTAACAACTATACCTTCGAGACATCTAACACCTCAATCTCTCCCGTGACCATGATTGCTGTAAAGCATTCGAAACGTAGGAATCAAAAATCCAAATAAATCCGCGAAAAAATCCGAAAAGATAGTTTTATTTAAAATGTCAAATATTCGTGTAAATCTAAGCAAGTATTATATTTGGTTTCTTCTGGCATTTCGTTAGCAATGATTATGCAAAATAATAAATCAAGTGAAGCTATTAATGTTATTGTTTTAAAATTTCTCTTAATACTGTACTAAAAAGACTATAAAATCGATATGATTATCATTTTATTTTATATACGTTGTGTCTACTCATCACTAGATGTCGCTAGTGTTCCATTATATTGGTTTATTCTATACAACTTATTGCTTAGAAATATTCGATTATGATTAATATAAATTACACACAGACAGAGAGTGATAGACACTTTTGAAAAAAGTTTAGATTCAAGTGTTTTATACGAAAAACTAAAAGCTTAGACAGCTTTTTATTGCATCAAATCGCTATTCAAAAATAAATTACGCAAAAATGGATATCAAATTATTATTTTTGTACAAATTAATCAGCTGAATCTTACGAAAAAAAATATTGCTTTGTTTGTTGACTTTCAAAAATATTAATTCGTTTACCATTAGTTACTTTACAAATTCATGATTAGGTATAATTATTTTGAAACAAATAGATATCATAGTACTAGCGGATCATCCTCGCTTCGCTCGGGTTCATCGCTAGGTACGTTTTAAATATTTTAAATAGATATAAGTAGTTGTTGTTAAATGTTAATTTTTTTTGGGATGTTTTCCGAAGTTTTAATAGTTATTCTGCTATTCGGAGTGAAGGCAAATCCAACAAATCAAAAACCATGATAATCGGTCCAGCAGTTCTCGAGTTAGAAGTGTTGTAACAAACCTGACTTTGTTTCATTACACACAGGCACACATAATAGTCTTATAACAAAAATTTCGATAGCTGGTTTTCGACAAAGAAATTATTTTGAACAACTAATACTTTAAACACACACTACTATACTTCCATATCTATCTATATATAATACTTCCATATCTATCTATATATTATACTAACATTGCCCGCGGCTCCGCCCGCGTTCAGATGACCAAAAACCAAATTCTTAGGTTTTACATATTAGTATACTCATACATTGCAGTTTTTGTATTTTTTCTCAAAAATGAGACATTTTCCCGTGATAAAAAGTATCCTATATGTTGACCCGGATAAGAGCTATGAGCATACCAAATTTCATCAATACAGCAAGACAGACAAAAATTCTAAAAACTATAGATTCGGGCTCTTTATCGATAATAATGTTTATTTTAAATAAAACTATCTTTTCGGATTTAGTCGCGGATTTATTTGCATTTTTGTTTCCCGACGTTTCGAATGCTTTACAGAATGATCATTTTGTTAATTGTGGGTAGGCTGTCTGTAACAACTATACATTCAAGACATGTAACACCTCAGTCTCTCCCGTGACCATGAATGCTGTAAAGCATTCGAAACGTCGGGAAACAAAAATGCAAATAAATCCGCGACTAAATCCGAAAAGATAGTTTTATTTAAAATGTCAAATATTCGCGTAAATCTAAGAAAGAATAATGTTTATTTCAATAAGTTTTTCCAAAAAATATTTAATGTACAGATTCGGCTTAGTTACAACTTTATTATATGTATAGATATAGATAGATATGGAGGTATAGTTATTAGTTAGGTGTTCAAATTAATTTCTTTGACGAAAACCAGCTATTGACATTTTTATTATAAGAATATTGTGCGTCGGAGCTTTTGTAAATATTTTACCTACTTACTTCATTTACGGTCAATTGCACACATATTCAATATGTGTCAATTCATAAAAATATTTAAAATAATAACTTTTAATTTAATCAATAAATAGATATGTTGCAATAGGTATGTGTGAGTGATCATTAGTATAAATAAGCTTTTAAGTAAATCATAGTAGGTAGGATTAATCTAATATTCATAAATAGCTGTAATAGATCAAGAATAAAGTTAAAATAAAATATTAGTTAATTTATCAATTTATAAAAAAAAAATGTGTTTTGTATAGTTTACGTGATCTTTGCTGTGAATTAATTTTACTGATTTGTTGTCTTTTTTTATTGATTGGGAGGATGGTTCGATTTAAATTACTACAAAAATCTATCCCTACGAGTGAAACACCTAGGTTGTAGGTAATTACTTTAAAAAATGTTTTCAAACTCGGTAATTTTTTTAAGTTACAATATTACCATGTCATATGAAAACCTAAAACATACCTCATAGTATTTATTAGGTACGTACATCAAACATTTAAAAGAATTTTTTAGAATAATTATTATGGCTATTACCTAACCATATACCTCGGCTAGAGGCTTCTCTTGTTAAATGTTTATATAATTAATTATGTTTAGTTATACTCGTTGTATAACCAAATATAAAAGTATTAAGCTCCTCCAGCTTAAATAATATCTGCTTTAATAGCAACAGTTCAAAATACTGAATAGGATAAAAAAATAAACAATACTTATATGAATATTGTTCAATTTTAAAATAACCAAAAAAAACAAAACATAACCCAAGTGCAACTATCGACAGAAAAATGCTTATTACTCTGTTGGTACTTTTACGCACATGGCTGTTTTTTTCATAACTGGGTCCAATTATATAATTTTTTGTGATACATGCATAGTTTAGGTATAATTTAAAAAAAAAATTGTTTCAGGATATTTTTTTTAATAAAGAATAAGTAAGTGTAGTAGAAATAATTATAGTAGTTAATAAAATAAAGAATAGAAATGTAGAAGTAAATATGTTCGAACAACCAATTTAGATATATATTATCTACGTGAATTCGATAATTAATTAAATAAGAAATTAGTAATTAATAAGATTATAGTAGATATATAGTCTTCTAGGTCTTTGAATTGCTTTGTAAAAATAAATTTCTCAAAGTCTAGCTATAAATCTATGTTTTTAAATATTTTCTTATAGTAAAAGAGGTTGTGTTATTCGATTAACCTCTTTATATATTGCTATATTGATAGTTCTAGCATAATTAGTCAAACGAAGGAAACGTGTAAGATATTTCTTACGTAGGCAATATGAAGATATAGGTACCTTAAGCATTGCATACCTTTATATGTTTGCCTTCTTAAAACCAAGTGTGAATTACTTAGTTTTTTACCATCTCTAACAGCATGTAGATGCATAAAAGTAATATTATAGTATACATACCTAATCATTTTTTAAATTTACTAAAATTATTTGAAATTTTGCCTTAAGTTAGCGTTTGAAAGTCAAATATATAGAAACAACATTTTTTTCCGATTTCCTCCTCTCCGTTCTAAATTACAATCTATTAATAGAGTTGCGGAACGAAAATCTTTTAAGCCGCTTTGTTTTCTGTCCTCAAAAATACTCGCAGTTTTTTTTGTCGCTTACTACGATTCTGCTCTATGTTTTAAAGAGTTTAGTTTGTGTTTAGTAGCAATTTCTATTAGCACGTTACAATACGTTCTATGGGCATCAAAGTAAATATAAATATTATGTAATGAATATTTATATTTATTACAACACTAGTGACTATCTAGTTTACTAGACTTGAATATCTTAACCAATTTAATCATACCTTTTACAGTATCGTAGGACTTTATGCAAAAAAAGTCGTATCTAGTCTTATGTAAATCATTAGTAGGTAAATATTTTAAACTCAATTTTTTACCCTCATATATAATTC